ATGGAATGTGTTTAGCTCATTCGTTCTGCACAAGGAGGCTCTCTAAACTATATTTCAGCCATGTTTGCTCATTTAAAAATGTCCAGCTCTGGACAAAAATGTATCGTCTTAAATTAATTTTCCTGATCTTAAGAATGCATTATTCAAGAACAGAACAAGTTCAATAAGAAAAGAGGTCCAGCCCCAATACCACAAAATGATCGGTCACGGGGTTACCTTAAAGCTTAATAATTATAAAAGATGATTTTTAGATTGTTCTATACATGTTCTTCGAGTTTCAGACTATTCCTGCGAATGTAATAACAAAACTTCACATTATTTTATAAGGCAACCGATAACGGTAAAATAGTTGTGGTGTTTTTTTACTTTGTTTTAATCTTGATGGTGACTTAAATAAGTTTGATTTAGGTTCGCGCATCACATCCCCGAGAACGTCAAATCTGGGTCGACAGAATCCGTGCTTGCGCCCACATGCATAACGAGGCGCGTGCATCTAATCATCCTCCTCCGCAAATACGAGAATATATGCCCCCAACTCCACCTGGAGCCAGGTATGCATCTAATCATCCTCCTCCGCAAATACGAGAATATATGCCCCCAACTCCACCTGGAGCCAGGTAACACGAGAATATATGCCTCCAACTCCACCTGGAGCCAGGTAACACGAGAATATATGCCTCCAACTCCACCTGAAGCCAGATAATACGAGAATTTATGCCTCCATCTCCACCTGGAGCCAGGTAATACGAGAATATATGCCTCCAACTCCACCTGGAGCTAAATAATACGAGAATATATGCAACCAACTCCACCTGGAGCCAGGTATTATGAGAATATATGCCTCCAACTCCACCTGGAGCCAGATAATATGAGAATATATGCCTCCAACTCCACCTGGAGCCAGGTATTATGAGAATATATGCCTCCAACTCCACCTGGAGCCAGATATTATGAGAATATATGCCTCCAACTCCACCTGGAGCCAGGTATTATGAGAATATATGCCTCCAACTCCACCTGGAGCCAGATAATATGAGAATATATGCCTCCATCCCCTGGAACCAGGTAACCTATGAAGTGGGAATTTTATTGAGAAGGAGTTTACAGGGACTGTAAGCGTAATTTTAAGTGCCCCACCCCCATGCAAGGATATCAGTGTTCGATTTACAACGTTTCCCTTGAAAACTTAATCTGATTTAAAATGTGGAAAATAATGTCGTTTTTCTAACTCGAAAAGAGTTTAATCCTGATAAGTCCTGCAGTCTTTTTTATGAGCAAGAAATGTGCAAGTCACTTTTGAAGAGAATCCACAATTCAAAATTAGTTCTAATTCATACTTTCATACTTGATCAGACAAAGCTTTTTAATGATACCGTTGTAAATCAGGCATTGCCATCTTTGGACATTGCTAAATCCAATGATAGGTAGCTGTTGGGTACACAGTTTGTCATTCTGACAGCCAGCCAAATGAATGTACCACGAGGGCACGGGCGTTAAAATTTGTGCTCTCGGCCGGGTTGGACTCCAGGCTGCTATCTGCACGGTGGTGCGTGGTGCCCTGAAGGCAGTTTGGGGGTTCCACATTGGGTTACCTTTCAGATTTAAACATGATTTGATTTGAATTGGAGAGTCACTTGAAATGACGCTTACAGTCCAACAAGAAATTTAATTCTGATAATTTCTCTCTTCTTTCTGATTAGCAAGAGATTCTCACTTTTGCATTGAAACCATAAATAAACAGTTAATAAAAACATGGATATCAAGTTTATATTTGATTTGACAAAGCTTGTAAGGGTACTGTTGTAAACCAGACATACAGGGTCACTTGAAATTTCAGTTTCCATCTCTTTAAACGCGTTAGAAGTTTAATTTGGTTGGTATTCTCTTCAATCATTTGAATTAACTTCTGTACCCTTAGAATATGCTGTCAAATTAAAAAAAATCAAGAATTCAACCTAATGCTTAAAAATATCGTTTTTATGAAACAAAAAGGTCGTGTTCAAAACAAAGAGTAAATTAAAAAAAAGGATTCATTGATCTGGTATTACGTAACCACACACCGGTGAAAGATAAGAAAAGATTTTATTAATTGCTGATAAAACAAGTAACTTCACGAACCTGAGAACAAAGTGATAATTAACAATGCTTATGAGGTATAAAAATGATGCAATAAAAACCCGCAGTTGTTGAACAAAACTAATTATCTTTGATACTTTATTTTTAAAAACTAAACCTATATCTCAATGTTTAAGACCAAGCATAACATGCCCAAAATTTGGTGTCAAATAGCCAATAGCCAACCCCAAATATGGAAATATATTAATAATTTTCAAGTAATCAATCTTGTCTAAAATTCCAAAAATTGGCATCTGTTATTTGATTTTGATATGAAAAATATATTTTTAGATCGCACTTGGCAAAGAACGGAGAACCGTCCGAGGAGCTGATAAGCTTATCATTGACTGCTCTCGATGCTTTTGCTTCAGTTCATGATATTATTCATAAGGTTGGTGCTGGCTCTTCTATTTAGAATCACTTATCACTATACAGGGTGATTCATTTGATCCAGGGGTAATTTCTCTTGTCTTGTTAAAGTTAAAGGGTCAATCTTTAACTTGTTTGAACTCTGATCTTCTTAATTCATAATACATATTAAAGTCTTGTTAAGGTTAAAGGCTGAATCTTTAACTTGTTTGAACTCTGATCTTCTTCTCCTAAAATCCACATCACAATCTGCGCTGATATGTATGGAAAATGCTATGACAATTTTGCAGGTAAGATAATTATCATTTTGTTGTTAAAAAATCTGCTTCGTTTTAAAAAAAATTTTCATGGGTTTGTTAGGTCCAATTTATTTATTTCATTTTATCTGTATTCAACATTCTTCTCTTGGAATAATGCATAATTTTTTAATTTCTGTCCCCTACTTCCTTACTGCACACGTATTTTCAAGTAAGCGTCAGTTTAAATATGCCTAATATACAACAGTACCCTTTAACTGTTCTTCTGGGTAAAAATGGCTAAGATCTATCTGTTTTCAATCAGTAAATTTACAACTTTCAATTTTGGGTTTCGCTACAAAAGGGGTTGGCGGATTTTTCAGCACGTTTAAAATTTAAAAAGAATCACCGCCTTTTATTATTGCATAGGTAACTTTGTTATTGGGCACGTGACTTTTGTATGGTCACTTGAAATTACGTTGACAGTCCCTTTAAGATTATTTTTTATTGAAATATTGAAATATTGAAATATTGAAATATTGAAATATTGAAATATTGAAACATTGAAATATTGAAATATTGAAATATTGAAATATTGAAATATTGAAATATTGAAATATTGAAATATTGAAATATTGAAATATTGAAATGCTGAAAATTTGAAATATTGAAATATTGAAATATTGAAACATTGAAATATTGAAATATTGAAGCATTGAAATATTGAAATATTGAAATACTGAAATATTGAAATATTGAAATGCTGAAAATTTGAAATATTGAAATATTGAAACATTGAAATATTGAAACATTGAAATATTGAAGCATTGAAATATTGAAATATTGAAATATTAAAATACTGAAATATTGAAATGCTGAAAATTTGAAATATTGAAATATTGAAATATTGAAATATTGAAATATTGAAATATTGAAATATTGAAATATTGAANGAAAATTTGAATTATTGAAATATTGAAATATGGAAATATGGAAATTTGTCTATGCAGGATATACGAGAGAATGAGATGGGTGCACAGGCGCATAAACATTCAAGTCTCAAGCTTAAGAATAAACAACAGGACAGTTCAATTGTTGATTAGGATAAAAATAATTAATTCTTAGCTCATGGTAAATTTAAAGTTTTTTTTAAAGTCTAAATGGCTAAGTCGGACGGGTTGTATTTTATGTAGGACTAGCTAAAGTGCCCGGCGAAGGAGGGTGGGGGGAGTGCAGAAGTCCTCAATTGGTAATCACCGCCACCCAAACGCGTTTGCGGTATACGCGCTCCACAATTGGTAATCTCCACCACCTCAATAGGTATCAGACAAAAAATGGTAACATTAAATGTTTATTTCTTAGAAATAAGACCATATTGACACCATAGGGCCCTTACCCTATGGTGTACAATATACTTGAAGCTTTCTTTATTGTTCCCCAGTTTCGAAAATAAATCTATAAATTTGCCACATGAAGCGCTAGAAATGAAATTACTTTTTAAATCTTTGCGCATGCGCGCTCCTGAATTAGCAATGAAGCACTAGAAATAAATTAGTGAACTTAATACTTCATTTTCACTAGTGGCCGCGATGAGACCGATTTTTCTAAATTGTTTGTTCTTTCTATGCATGTAACTAGTTTTTAGTAGATGTTGAACTGAAAAGGTTTTTAGAAAATATCTCCTAAATTTACGATATTACTTTGGTCGGGGTGAGGTAATTTTTAGGCTGCCCTACCTTTTAGTATCTTAACTCCAATCATGAAATGCAGTCATTAAATCAGCGTATTGGATCTAAGATTCGTAATTTTTTCTCTAGCGCTTTATGTGGCGTACTTATGGATTTATTTTCGAAACTGAGGAGCAATAAAGAAAGCTTTAACAATATTTTACACCATAGGGCCATTAACAGAGGTCAATATGGTCTTATTTCTAAGAAAAGAACGGTTTAATGTTAACATTTTTATTTCTGATTACCAATGAGGAGCGCGCATGCCGCAAAATCGTTTGGGTGGCGGTAATTACCAATTGAGGACTTCTGCACTCCCCCCATGCCCGGCGCTGCCCGCGTAATTTAAGAAAGACTTTTTAAGTCTATGTTTCCCCCAGGGTACCTATGGGTTTCCTAAAAAAATATCAACCAATTTGGTCCAGTGCAGTTGTTTGACCAGTTATAGCATACATATATGCAAATATATATAAGCAAAGAGATTTTTTATGTAGAATTTGTGAAAGTGATTTTAAACCAAAAATGCAATTTTAAAAATTGAACTGAATTTGTGCAGGGATCACTCAGCTTCCTACCATCCTCACCAAGCAGATTAGGTAATACAACCCCCCCCCCTTCCACTTTTTAGAAATAATTTCCCTATTATGTCTCAACTCAATAATTTTACAGGCAACTTTATCACTGGTGTTTAATGCCATTACGGACTTGAAAGTATGAAATTAACAAGTTTGAAGTCGATTTATGATTTTTCTTCAAAAATCATTTTAAAAGTCTGGTGAAATCTCTTGTGGTGTGTTTTGAAATCCCCAAAATATAATTTTATATTCCAGCTTCATCAATCTCTGCTCCCCGGCCTCGTTCTACAGATCCAGGCACATGACGAGCAGCCTCAAGAAGATCACGTCCTCCCAACTCTCCCATAGCCTCGAGAATCCTTCATCTTCATCCTCCACCATCTCCAGCAGCCTCGAGGAAATCCAATACGCAGTCTCAATCCTCCTCTTCTCGTCCTAGCAGCATGCCACCTTCGGCAAAATATTTTAATCCTTCGGCACCGGAACCTCGAACCTCAGCCTCATCCAAACCTTCGAGGACCAGTTCTCCATCCTCGTCACAAGCCTCCTCAGTTCCTAGTACACCTCGGTCCTCGACCTCCAGTCTAGTCCAACATATTGATATTAAGGATCACAGGGGACGTCCTACTACTCTGGATCATCTACGTCCTCATAGTGACGTAGCAGGCTCTCTGGAGGACGTGAGAGGTCAGAGAAAGGATCGTAGCTCAAGTCCCAAACATAGTCCGAGAATGTTTCGCAAGCTGCATATTGTGAAATCAGGAATCAGTTTTGTTCATAATCTTAAATTAGGGGAGTAGAACAATATTTTGCTGTACACTGTATAGAGTAGGTTTTCTGTACACTGTACAGTGTACAGAAGAATTAAGCAGTTTGCACTTATTAAAGCGTGCGTTTTCAATCATTATACAACTTATTTATATAGAATACCAGTACACGTCTTTAAAACATGTGCACAATTCCGCATCATTCCTTCAGAGGATTGAATTTTACACTTTAGTGAAAGTGATAAATATATCGTATTTAGTTAGTGATTAGAAGGGTATTAGTAATGTATTTATCAAATTAATTATAAATTCGTCATTTTAAAGTTGATTTTACCCAGTTTTAAGGGGAGTTAGCGTAAATGGAAGTGACCCTCTAGGCAAATATGGCAATGTCCGATTTACAACAGTACCCTTGGAAACTTTATCTGATCAATAATGTTAAAGAAATTATCGTTTTCCTAGGTTTAAAATGTTTAATTCTAAAACAAATTCTTATATTTTTTCTATAGTAGAAATGCGCAAGTCACTTTTGTTGAGAAACCACAATTGAAAATAATTAATTTTTAAAGTTTCAGACATTGATATCTAATCAGACAAAGGTTTTAAGGGTACCGTTGAGAATTTGGAATTAACATCTTTGCTTGATAATCATGTTGCATTTCAAGTATATTTACGGTTATTATCTCAGAGTTAACATTTCTATATAAATTAGCATTTAGTACAGTGTCCACAGAATAAGGTTGATTCAAATGACTGATAACCAATTTAAAGTTCATCAATTGTTTTTTCTATATTTCTTTATAGCCATTAAAATCAATTCACACAAAGGACTAACTCAGTGCTCACACTGCATTCTGTGCGCAATTCTACTGCTTACTAAGTTTGTTCAAATTATACTTTTGGTAGATTTTTTAACTTTAATTTTTAGACCACAGTGTCTTTACTTGATTCCTCATTTTTAAGAATTTGATTAGAAAATGTACTAGTCAGGTATCCCATACTCAATAGACGCGCATTAAATCTTTTCTTTTTAACGTTTTTTATTGTTTTTTAATCTTTTCTTTTTCATAATTTATGATATTTTTTTTTAATGTGTGAAAACTTTTTGGACCATGACGAACAAAAAATGTCCTTTAAATATTTGTTTTTGCCGCCTTTGACGTTATCAAATCTAAACCTCATGGTTCCATGATAAATTTTAACCCTTATCAAATTAGCATTTTAGCAGTATCATATCTGCAAATCATACATATTTTTAAAAATTGTTAAAAAGTTATTAACTGTAAAGTTTTGCAAAAATATGTAATCGTTTATTCATAAGATTTTACTACCTGGGCAATTATTAATTAGTGATAAATGATTGCGGATTTTATATATTTCAATTCAATTCTAAGATTTTACCATTGTTAATATTGATACCCTAGATTTTATCTTCTAGAATCTTATTTATGTTAACTATAAAATTGTTAAAGTTGTATCCAGATAATTTTGTTCAACTTAAACCTATTATCTTGTTTCAGATTAGAAAATGAGATGGTTATACAAATTGTGAGGTTAGTTTCATCTAAATTAACTGTAAAACTAAACCTCAATTTTATAGAGTGGCATGTCTGATTCACAATGGTAACCTTATATTTGATCAAGAATGCATGAGATATCCAGCATCTTAAAAAAAATTATTATTTTGAACTGTGGTTTCTATTTAAAACTGACTTGCAGTTTTCTTGAATCAAAAACAAAGGAAATTGGGAGAATCAAACAGTTTTCAGAAACTCTTCGACAACAATTTTTAGAATAATTAGTTACATTTCATCTAGTTGTTAATAGTGTTTTCGTTCTATTTTATAGAAAAGTAACTTTACATTCATTAATTGTAATCGAATTTAATCTCATTTGATTATTTCTACACCCAACTGAATGATTTTTATCGGAATAAATTGGATTAAAAAGCCTGCAGTCCTAGTCAGCAATTTTGATCCTTAAACACCGTAAAAAATCTTTCCTATTTTTATTAATATTATTAACATTCAACCTACAGTCAAAGTATCTTGTCCTGTAGGCTATGTTATGTTGAGCTCCAGGGTTGAGCTCCAGCCACTTACCCTTGTCTACATGGGTTCTAGTGGATCATATCTGACGGTGCATTATTTATGATTCAGTATTTTACCAGAGTATGTAAGAAGACATATAAAAAGCCAAACAATTAGCATTTTTTACCAGCAGTACGCACCTCTGGCAGGGAAAAGAAAACTGTTTTTGATACTTATTATTCCTCCAAACCCAATGATTCTTAACTAAGTATATAAGAGCTTGGAACAACCAGAATATATGCCTTAGCTATATCCCAAAATGCTATTGAAATTATCTAATGTTTGAGTCCTGGTTCCTTTATGGCATTATCAACTATAAAAACACAATCAGTTGTTGATCTTTGCTTACGGAGCCCATACTGAACTATTCCATACAAATTTTCTATTACACAAATTAAATTCCTGCACTCATGCATTAATTTTGTAATTACACTTAACATTACACTGGAAAAAAAGGACTTTTTTGCTTACCTCCAAGGAAGGTTTTTTTTTCAATTAATGTCATTTTTCGTATATTAAGAAGAGCTGGAATATCCCCATGTTTGTGAGACAAATGTCAATTTTGTAACAAATTTATCACTCACATTTTTAAGCGTTGTTGTAAGCACACCATCAACCCCTGGTGCCCTGTTGAGTTTTATACTTATAAAAACTTCAATGACAATTTCCTCTTCAATACAGGAGGAGGGGGGGGGGGCTCAAACTCAAACTTATCTTTTATCTTTGGCACTCATTTTAGAAAATTAGTAACTATTCTTAACTGTAATTTCTTTACTCAAAATTGGACTTTTTAACCCAATGAAAACTTTTGCGAGCTCTGTTATTGCCAGGTTCGCTAACTTTTACTTTTTCAGTTTCAATTTTACCATCAGAACCTTTGATAATCAATAAATCTTCCTTTTCTTACTACTAAATCCCATGCACCAAATCTATTTATCTTAACCCCATTTAAAAGTAATTTATAAGTTTCGATGACTATTCCTCGACTTTTCCTTTTAAGTAAAATATTCTTGAAGTATGGGGTGGAATATCATTTCCCTGACTTGTAACACAAAACCAAAATTTTGTAAATCTATAATTTTATGCCAACATAATTGGAACATTTCCTGTACTAAATTTCCTACCTATGTCTATTTCAATTTAATTCAATTCAATTCAATTCAATTCAATTTAATTCAATTCAATTCAAGAAGCTAGGTATTTCTTGTGGGTTTCTTGATCTAACTGGAGTATGCTATCACGATCAAGGCTTTCCAGCCTGACATAGTTTAGACCTAACGTCAAGTTTCATGATCAAGTTTATACATATATCTCTTTTCCATAAATGAAAATCTTCTGTTAGTAAGACTCTTTTTCATAAATACCGTCTGTTTTAATAAATTTTCCCATATATAAATAACAACATACATATAGCCCTTTTCCATAAATAATTTCTGTCATTAAAACTTCTCATATAAATGAAAAACAAAACACATATAGCTCTTTTCCATAATCCACAAGATTTCTGCTAATAAATTTTATTTTACATAAATGAAAAAGTCATAAATAACGTCTGTTCTAGGCCAAAAAACCAAATGATCATTTTCTAGGCTTCCTTGACCGTGATCTTGATGAACTTGACCATAGGTCTAACTGGGTCTGTTGTATAGCTTGGCCTCTTGTTGACAGTAGTTCTGCCCCTGATACACTCCTTGATTACTGTACTAGCCTCAACATTGACCCTCTCATCACCTTTCCGTTGATCAGTAACTTCCACAAATCGGGCTTCTGGAGCTTGCTGCTTCTTTTCAGTGGCCCAGAAGTGAGAGGACTTCTCTGGACCATGGGTATTCATGATTGTGAGTCTGAATATTTTGATCCATAACCTGGTGCAACTTGCTTGGGTGACCTTGAACTTTGCAAAAGGAGCATGTATTTCCCATCCAAAAACACTTCTGAGAACAATGGTTATCCAGGCCAAAATAAGCACAGAGCTCCTTTGCTTCACACTCATTAAACCCATGTTCATCTGTTTCACAGAATGTGTTCTTAAACTTTTTTCCTGGTGGATAAGTATTGACACTAGCTGAAGCAACGTCTTTCAATCGGTTGTTCATCTGCTCCCTCATGCATTTCTGACTTGACTGTAGGAGTCTAACATTGGAACCATATAAGGACTCCGAATCATAAAGAAGCATCTTGATTTGGATCTCCACCTCAATCAGCTTCCTTGCTGAAATAATCTGAGACTGGGGGAGCCATCATCTCCCTTCCATCCTGCTCCATGTCCATTGTAGCTTGATCTGGTCCACCCCTCTCCTTAATATCATTGTAAATCTTTAAAATACTTAAAATACTATACACCCACCGGCCCCGTAAATTTACAACACAGTTGTCAAATACAGGGTGGTCAAGGTAGACAAGAATCTTCAATCATTAGATGAGTGTGGTATCGAATTTAACTCTCAGTTTTAGATTCAACTCAGTATCAGCCTTAAGTCTGGGATCCTAGTTTCAGCTTAAATCTCAGGTTTCGATATAAAGAAATCTTTACCTTCCCTGCCCCGTAAATTTACAATAAATTGTCAAAAACAGGGTGGTATCAGATAATAATATTTCTTACGGGAAGAAAATACTCAGTCTCAATTTAACTCAGGTTCAGGCGTTTACTCCTCCAAACTCCGGAGATTTACAATAAAATTGTCAAATCCAGAATGATTACAGACGCCAGTTCAGTTAAAATTGATTTCTCTCTTTTAATTCTCTTCTGTTGAGAACCTTCTCTCACTTCTTTACTCTTTGCTTTCGAGCATTTAGTCTTGGCGCTAATAACTACCTGTTCCGCAGATTTCTCTTCATAAGCTGAACTTGAAACTGTTATGAATAAAAACTATTAAAAACTTTAGGAAATTAATAGTGGAACCTTTCTTTACCTGAATTAAGAATATATCTACCTTTACAATTACCTCTACAGAGATAGGTGTGACATGCCTAAAAAAGTTTACGGGACGATTATTCGGGATCAATTCCATGCCTTTGCGGATCCAAATCAATCTGAAAAATGGAAACCCTAATGAACCCCCTAAATCCTTTTTTGTTAATAAATTGTTTTGTTTAGTTTGTAACAATGCTGATTTATTCTGTTCTCATTGCGGTGAGCTCCACGCTTCTCCTGGCAGTAACCTCAACGCTGGGAGATGGGGAAATCCAGGAGATGGGTCAAGCTGGTGATATACAAGGAAATATACAGCTTTACCTTATTACTAAGTGCAGAATTCAATTTTAGAATTTTTTAAATTTTTGAAATACAAGATACTTATTTCATCAATTTTGCCAGTTCTATTTGTGAAACTGACAAAAAATAATACCAATGAAAAAATTTATATGTTTATAATGCCATGAGTGAATTATTATGAAAATTTCTTTAATTTATTAAATGAGTTCTAATCTATACTTTGAATTCTTGTTTTCACTATTTTTATTAAGCTGAATACTGAAAGATCCTTGTTCTCTGAAGGAGAAGAATGTCAGCCTTGCTTCATTGTCATTTCCATATTATGAGGTATCAGAGCTGGGAACTCACGTATTGTGGATATCGAGATCAATGCTTGAAATCGATCGTTTGTTAATCTGAGCTGAAAACTTTTGAATTGTAGACATCAAGATCAATGCTTGGTCTCCTCTTTTTGTTAATCTGCAAGACTAATACAGAGCGTCCCATATCAAATTAGATTATCTCCAATCTTTAACACCAAAATAAAGTCTTAATACTCGAAAAAGTTATCATTTTTCGCAAGAAAATTCTTATATAAGCCTTATAAATTTTCTGATTAGTCCCGAAAACCGTAATTTAGACCCGTTCTCGGTCTAATATGATGTGGGACACCCTGTTTAATCTTGTTTTTGATATCCAGGAAAGTCTGTAAAATTCAACCAATTAGAGTACCGTTTGCACTAACTTAACAGCCAATCAGAAGCCAGGAAATTTTGTGCACAATCAATGAGAGAACTTTTGTTAATCGGAACCCAGCAGGAATATCCAAAATAGAGGATTAACAAGAAAGTTAAAAGTTTCCACATTTGATATTCAGATTAAGCAATGGGACTAAGGATATTTAATTCCAAAGTTTCAATTTTTATTCAATATCCCACATCCTACCCTGGCGGAATAACTGAACTGAAGAGATTAAGCATGTTATCCTCAAATTAAGCCCGCAGTGGACGAGAGATTAAGCGAACGGTATTATCCCACACAAAAGTTCCCAGCTCAAGCTCTTATGTTTTATGGGGGTGCCAACAAAATATTTTTATTTAATTGTCGAAATTTTGCTTTCTTAAAAATAATTGATCATTTGAGGGGCAATAAATAAACTCTTGAGAAGAAGCTTTACAATTAATTTAATGTTATTTAAATTTATGTCCTTAACATTTGCATAATATTTTTTTTTTACAATCAAAGTTCGGTAGAAAATAGCTTTGTTTAATGGACTTTTTTATCAACAAATCTTGGAATGGCTGGCGCTTTTTTATGAATAACTTTAAGTAATAAGTTGACATATAAAAAAGTTTTCTTAATAAAATGTTGTTTCTAAAAAACATATCTGTTTGTTAATTTTCTTTCTAGTTATTGAGATATTTAAAGAAGACAAAACTCTTTTATAACCTAACTATTGCCGCCTTTTTTTTTACAAGCGCTACAAATTTGAAATACATATTGATTGAAAGATAATTACATTTTCTTTAATTTGAGCATCGATGAAATTGCCTTTTCTCCTTGTTAAATGCATTATTTTGCAGGTAAATTAACTTATTATAAATAGTACGTTTTCGTCTGCAAAACGAATTTCTGTAAGTTTACGCATTTACGTAAATTTCTTTATTTAAAGTTCAATGGATTTGAAGCTGTACAAAATTTCAAATATGGAATTAAAAATCATGAAGTTCCGAACATTGAATGTGTTAGAAAGAATGTTCCCAATATTGCTTTCGAATCTCGAGGTTCGGAAGCATATGGGGATTCAGCGAATGCCGCAAATAAAAACGAAACACAAACACAATTTCAAACATAATCTATAAAGTTTAAGTTTTTCCAGTCCGAACTTTGATCGTAAAAAAAAATATTATGCAAATGTTAAGGATCCTATAAATCGACTACCTTGCTTAAATAATCTAGTCCTATCTAGTCCTATCTAGTCGTATAGAGTCCTATCTAGTCCTATTTTGTTCTATCCATTTCATGCTTTCTTTTATCTCTTTTATGATTGTTCTAGGGATACAACACCCTAGGGAACGATTCTATCAAGATATATCTGAGTTTATGCAAACCTCTCAGGAATTTTTCCAATATAATTATTTAAAAAATATATTTTTTGACATTTTTCTAAATTTTTGATTCCCTCATTGTTTAAATCCTTTAAGGATTTGATCCTCATCCTTTAAAACTTTTGAATCCTTTGAATCCTTTAACTCCTAGAATCTTTTAAATCCTTTGAACCATTTGAATCCTTTAACTCCTAGAATCCTTTAAATCCTTTAACTCCTAGAATCCTTTGAATCCTTTGAACCCTTTGAATCCTTTAACTCCTAGAATCCTTTGAATCCTTTGAACCCTTTGAATCCTTTAAACCCTTTGAATCCTTTAAATCCTTTGAATCCTTTGAATCCTTAGAATCTTTTGAATCCTTTAACTCCTAGAATTCTTTGGTATTTAAACATTTTAAAATTCAACTTAATCTCTTTGAAATCCCTGAAATCATCAAGTTCGTCAGATCTTTTTAATTTATTTAATCCGTTCACCCTATTGGATATATTTCTCATTTAATCCATTATATACAGGGTAATCCACAAACTATGAGAATACAACGACCGAAAACTCATTAAATTTGACGATTCCAAGGTTGAATTATCTATATTTTATTCTGCCTAAGATATAGTAATCTAATGATTTGGCAAAGAAACAAGTTTACAGTTGCAGGGAATCGGGAATATAAGGAAACAGACAGTGTAAAATCCGTACAATTGTATCTGAAGTTTCATCCTTTGTGGGTAACCCTGTACCTCGAATTCCTTAAATCTCTTTCCCCTCTGGCCACCCTTAGCTTATGATAAATATTGGGTCTGATCTAGCGAACTACCGGAGAGGATTGCTGCTCTCTGCGACAAAACTGCGTTTTCCTGCATAACAAAGTTTAATGACAGGTTGGGATGCAGTTAAAGGTTGAGGTTGAATATATCCTGGGTTAGGAAGGTTGAGGTTTGATATATTCTGGGTTAGGAAGGTTGAGGTTTAATATATCCTGGTTTGGGAAGGTTGAGGTTGAATTTATTCTTGTTTAGGAAGGTTTAGGTTAAATATAAACTTGGTTAGGAAGGTTAAGGTTGAATATATCATGATTTAGGAAGGTTGAGGTTGAATTTATCCTTGTTTTGGAAGGTTTAGGTTAAATATAAACTTGGTTAGGAAGGTTGAGGTTGAATATATCATGATTTAGGAAGGTTGAGGTTGAATATATCCTGGTTTAGGAAGGTTGAGGTTAAATATATCCTGGTTTAGGAACGTTGAGGTTTGATATATCCTGGTTTAGGAAGGTGGAGGTTTAATTTATTCTGGTTTACGAAGGTTGGGGTTAAATATATCCTGGTTTAGGAACGTTGAGGTTTGATATATCCTGGTTTAGGAACGTTGAGGTTTGATATATCCTGGTTTAGGAAACTTGAGGTTAAATATATCCTGGTTTAGGAAGGTTGAGGTTTGATATATCCTGGGTTAGGAAGGTTGAGGTTTAATATATCCTGGTTTAGGAAGGTTGAGGGTTAATATATCCTGGTTTAGGAAGGTTGAGGTTTAATATATCCTGGTTTAGGAAGGTTGAGGTTTAATATATCCTGGTTTACGAAGGTTGAGGTTTAATATATCCTGGTTTAGGAAGTTTGAGGTTTAATATATCCTGGTTTAGGAAGGTTGAGGGTTAATATATCCTGATTTAGGAAAATTGAGGTTGAATATATCCGAAATGGAGGCTCTGTATCTACCGGAGTACGAGAGGAGGTGAACCACCTGGCTCTGGTGGCTATGACAACGACAACGACAACGACATCTCTCATTGATTACATGTTTTCCAAAGAGTTCCTGGATATGATGCAATAATAGACCTTAGTGTCTGGGCAACAGAAGATGGACATTTCCTAGCCAGGTAAAAATTTACCAAAGTTTAATTATCCAAATTTAGATTTTTAGTTTTTAGAAGCTCATACTTCTGGTAAAAGAAAAATCATTCTCATTAAAAGTTACAATTTTTTTAACGATTTTGTCTATTTTTGTTCAGGTCGATATCAGATATTTCTGGTGAGAAAGAACTTTATCACCTGAATTTGTGTAGAGGAGTGACGCACAGTCCTTGTCCTTCATCTAGCATTCTCTGTAGGGTCAATCAGGACGAAACTCAGGTACTAGATTTAGGGTTGTAAATCAGAAACTCATTGGATGGGGGACCGAGGGATATTTTTCCTTGAAAATCCCACCCTCCCTCATCATCAAAAAAAAAAATTTCCGATGTGTAAGAAGTGCAGTCCTTAGCAACGAAGCTTATAAAATGTAGGTGTAGCCGTAGGGATTTCAAAACATAATTAGATGTTGGATACAAAATACAATATATTTTATTAGTTGTTGGATACAATATACAATATATTAGATTGGATGTTGGAAACAATATATTTATATCTTATTAGATGTTGTATACAATATACAATATATTTGACTAGATGTTTGATACAATATACAATATATTTAATGAAATGTTGGATACAATATACAATATTTTTAATTAGATGCTGGATACAATATTCAATTATTTTATTAGATGTTGATACAATATGCAATATATTTGATTAGATGTCGGATACAATATACAAAACATATTTAATTAGATGTTGGATACAATATACAATATATTTGACTAGATGTTGGATACAATATACAATATATTTAATGAAATGTTGGATACAATATACAATAATTTTAATTAGATGTTGGATACAATATTCAATATATTTTATTAGATGTTGATACAATATGCAATATATTTGATTAGATGTCGGATACAATATACATAACATATTTAATTAGATGTTGGATACAATAAACAATATTTTTAATTAGATGTTGGATACAATATTCAATATATTTTATTAGATGTTGATGCAATATGCAAAATATTTGATTAGATGTCGGATACAATATACAAAACATATTTAATTAGATGTTGGATACAATATACAATATATTTTATTAGATGTTGGATACAATATACAATATATTTTATTAGATGGTGGATACAATATATTTTATTAGATGTTGGATATAATATACAATATATTTTANTGGATACTTTAGACAATATATTTTATTATTTGTTGAAACAATATATAATATTAATTAATATTAACTTTTCAAGCCGTTTCGTTAACGGTTAGTTCCAACTGTTTTTAGAATAAAATCTAAGGTTACCGTTTATTTCAAAGGGTAAGAACGAAACTTCGTTTCGTTAAATGTATTTTCCGTTATTTTTAAAGTTCCCGTTAGTTGACGATCTCAATTTTATTAATGTTGTTATGGAAAATTTTCGACTATTATTGCAGAATTAACGGTGTTAACGGTTAATGAAATCGTGAACGGCACAGCCGTTAACGGTCTATTTCAGTATTAACGGCGTTAACGGCGCGAAGCGCCAATAAAAATTCAAAACATAAAAACATGTAAAAATTTTAATTCTTAAACAAGTTCAATCCAATTTTAAGCAGAAAAAAAACTAAATTCATCGTTTAAAAAAACAGTTAAGTTTTTTGTTTCAACCGTTATTTTTTTCAAAAACAGCTAATCCAATGATTTGAAAATTAACGGTTTTTGCCGTTTTTTAACGGGCTCTTCCGTTTATTTTCGAAATCCTCCGTTTCGTTAACGGAACTTTGACCAGCCCTAGATACAATATACAATATATTTTATAAGATGTTGGAGAATATTGGAAACCTGACAGATCATCATTCAATAGAATATATTCCAGAATCCGAGACTATCAGGTAAAATGCAAGCGCGTATTTGAATGTTGAAGATATTGTCGTTTTTCTAGGCTAATAAGTGTTTTATTCAAATAGTTTCTTTATGTTTTCCTGCTTTAGAAATGCGCAGGTCATTTTTGTTGAGAAACCACAATAATAAGTTTTTTAAATTACTAACATGAACATTTAATTTTTACTTGACCAGACAAAGCTTTCAATGATACCATTGTTAATCTGGTATTACCATCTTAGCATGGAGGTCGGAGGGTCACTTGAAATTACGATTTAAGTTCTTTCAAGAAATGATAATTGAAGAAAATCCCCGAGTTTATTTTTTTTTCAGATCATAAAGTTAAGTGTACACTACACATTGTGTGTCTATTTTAATAAAACAAAATTAGAAGATAAAAACTAACTTGTAGGTAATACATTAAATAATTAGCCTGGCTGGTTCCTTGGTTTACAAAAAATCCTAAACCTTACTGTAAGACGTTTTTTTATATTAAGTGTAAATTATCCTGGAGCCCTGTTACCAGTAACCATCAATATCAAGTGCGACAGAGATGCTTTAAAACCTCAGGTCTCCATCGAGTCTGATTCTCCTAAAGGAGTAGTTTTAAGGTAATTTTAGGTAATCCTATTGTCTTAGAAGTAATCTATCTTAGATCTTTTTTGGAAGTTTTTTTCATTTCTTCATGGAGTCTGATACTCCCAAGGAAGTTTTAAGGTGTTAAAAAGGTATTTGGGAAGTCTAATACTCCTTAAGGAGTAGTTCTAAGCAAATTTTTAGGTAATATTGGTGTCTAAAGAGTAGTTAAAAGGTTTTACTAATTTCTAATATGCATTTTCTTTAAACAACAAATAGCGAAAACTGATTTCTTTTCCCTGGCAGAGGTGTGTACTGCTTTTCAAAAAATGCTAACTGTTTGGCTTTTTATATGCCTCCTTACATACTCTGGCAAAATGCACTGAATCCTAAAAAATTCACCGTCATATATGATCCACTAGAACCCATGTAGACAAGGGTAAGTGGCTGGAGCTCGACCCTGGAGCTCAACATAGCCTACAGGACATGATACTTCGACTGTAGGTTGGTTAATAATAATAATAAAAATAGTCTTATACTCCCCAAGGAGTAGTGGCAGGTAATTCGACATGTCAAAGGAGTAATTAAATGGTTTTAACTCATTTCTTTTTGGAGTTTAACACTCCCAAAGAAGAAGTTGTGAGATATTATTCAGGTCTTTATGGAGTATGATACTCCTAAAGGAGTAGTTTTAGGTAATCCTTGATTTAAATACTAACAAAAAAGTAATTCATAGGTAATTCTTAGGTAATCAAGAAGTCTTGTACAAGAAGTTAAAAAGTTTTGCTCAATGCTCAAGTACTACACAGTACACAGTACATAGTACACAGTACACAGTACACAGTACACAGTACACAGTACACAGTAAACAGTACACAGTAAACAGTACACAGTAAAAAGTACACAGTACACAGTTCACAGTTCACAGTTCACAGTACACATGGAGGAATTATAGAGTAATAACATCTGTTATATTTTATATGATGGTTGATCGCCCATTATTCTTGTTATTATCATAGGAGTATTAAAAAAAATTCTCCAACTCTGAATTTTGGAGTTTTTAAAAGTTATATAAAACTTAATGAATGAACCTTTTAGAAATGTTCTTGCATTTTGCATCTATGGCATTGGCAATCAATTGTAGAACTTTAATAACCATTTTTTAGGTTTCTAACAGTTGGGGCATGTTTGGTTCCAGCTATACAATGCGTTACACAGGATAATGATGGAAATATCTATGATCTCTCTTCTCTCAAAACTATGGTAAGGGTCATTTTTAACTGATTTTGTGCTTGCAATTACCCAATAACCATCTATTTCGCTAAGTGGGCAAACTAGAAAAAAGGTTGAAGGGAAATGTTAGTAGTTTAATGAATACAGCTCGAGACGATTTAAGTATAAACGGAATTTTCTCTGATCTTTTGAGAGAGATTTGTTGAGAAAAAAAAATCAAAATAATTTTCTTACAAAATTTTATCTTTTTCAAGGAATGGGAGATCGGAGTCTCGAACGAGAAGCAGAGTCGATATCAAATAAAGGAAACCAATATCATTGTTTACATCTTTTTCCTCCTTTTTATCAACATTACCGACCCATGATTCTCCCAACAGAGGGACGTTAAGTTACTTAACACCCCTTGGGACAAGTAAAATAACGACCCGCTCTGCGAAGTTTTATTTTTAAAAATTCCAGATTCCAGACCGCCATAACAGTTATCTTTTACACTGGCCTTTTACCACGTTGGAGGTCTGGGGATTCCACAATGGGATTTTTAACACTCATTATATGATAATAATAATAAGTATAGTCACTTTTGGTTGGAAGATTAGGAGAAGAATTTCTTCAAGATTCTGTTTTTATAACATTTATTATGGTTTTCCTTACTGTCTTTGTCTATTTCAAGCTGCCAGCCCATATCTTAGTCTTGATTCACCTTTGTCCGACCATAACTCGGGATTCATTTGAACGATTTGTCTCAAATTTTAATTGGAGGACTTTGTAGAACCACAGAAATAATCTTAGTTAGTTTTAAAAGTTAAGTGGGTTGACTTTTACAGGGAAAAAATGATAATCTAGGTAAAGCTTGTTTTCCAAGCTAGATATCTATATTTGGTGTATGGATAGTCCAGTAACAATTTTAGATTTTACATAATCCATGTCAGAATTTGACAGAATGTCGGGTGTCCCATTGTGATAGGTCTTAGCTAAAAATTTTAAAAAAACATTGCAGCTTAAATGAAATTTTCTTAAAACATCTGTCGCAAAGCTTTAAATTCATATTGCTTTTCTGCTTTAGCAAGTTCATCTTGGGCATTATATGTGGCTAATAGGAAGCAAATAGGTTTTAGTACAGTAGATGGAAACGTAGAATTTGTACACCCTCAGTACAGCTGTATTCTTATGACACAAGAGTCACTTAGTTTTTGTGTTCGACAAAATTAATAATAATAGTGGTAACTTTAGAGTAAAGTGCTCATCTTTCATTAAAATAAGTGCAATTCTCTGTTGACACTGATAGCGCTTAATAATCTATTTGGTAGGAAGTCCCTAACACTCTGATTGATTGATTGATTGATTACTGGTATGGTGTCAGGTGTGTGGAAGTTTACCAATAAGTCCTGAGAACCCATGCAGAGAGCAGGCTGGGATATGCTCCTACAGTTTCATGAACAACTCAACCAGGATGGTCGAACCTCATAACCTCGGTATAATGTACAAGTAAGTGGAATTATAGTTTTAAGAGGGACTCTTTAATCTTTATATATTTTTAAGTGATCTTCAATTTACGATTCACAACAGTACCATTTATGGAATTATCAATTGGACCTTGGACGGACGTCATCAATTACCAATGTGATGGCCATGGACATGATCTTGTAGGTGTTGGGACGTCGCTATCCAGTAAAATGAACCTCTTTTTATGTCCTGACAACCTTTATTTTGACGTTGAACTGTAATCATTTTGAATGCCCAAATGACAAAACTTTTGATGTCACTGATATTATCGCCCACCACCATAGAATATCTTTAAATTCTTAGCTGAACTAGTCCTAACATCCCAATTTAGAGCTTTGCAAACCCAATCTAATGTGATATGGGACATCCTGTATCTGATATGTATTTTTAGACGACCTGTTGTTAATGAGGACGGAGATATATCTCTGGAATATAGTCATGGGACAAAGTATTCGGACAACAAGGGAATTATTTTAATCAGTCAAGCAACCAATCGATCAATCAATTACTCAATCAATCAATAAATATGAAAATATAAAAATACTAGCTGAAGTGCCCAGCGTTGCACGTTGAAATAAAAAAACTGTACTGAAGAATAAAGTTATGAATTCTAAAAGGAGAAAAAAAAGCGACCTTTTAAGCCTATTATACCCCCAGGCCCCAGGGTACCCATGGGTTTTAAAAAATGTCAGGAAATTTTGGTTAGCCGTTTGGCCAGCTATAGCTAACATAGAAATATATATATATATATGAACGAAGAGTTTTTTTATACAGATGTATTTTTGCTTGCTACAGTATTATTTTGAAAAAAATATCTTAAACTACGGTTTTTTTTATGGATAAAATGTAATCTGTATCCAGGGTAACTCCTGCAATATGAGTTCAGAAATCATTCTCAAGTGCTCAGATAGAGAACTCGGGCCAAGGTAAGAGTTACAAGATTTCAGATAAAAAATTTAAAATCTAAGGTTTGATTTTTTATGGAGAATTTTGAATTATTTTCAGTACATTTATCACCGTTTGAATTTTCTAGCGATTATTTGAGTTTAATGTAATACATACAATGATATATAATAAAATCTTTCATTTATTTTCACACGTAGGTTTGAAGAAGCAACTGCTTGTAAGCATACATTAATCTGGAGTACCACTGCCGCCTGTCCACAGCAGAAACAGGTTTCCCACGACTGTACAGTACGGGAACCATTGTTCAGTAATCTCTTCAACCTGTCCAGCCTTTACAGTACAACAGGGACAAATTTAACTGGTTTTAAAAATTTAAATCGAGCTTTTGATTGAACATTTTTTTGAAATTTAAAGATTATTATAATTTTGGAAAGTACAGTGGGAGCCATAAAACTGTGGAATAGGCAGACGACCAGCAATCTTATATGTGTAATTGATGTATAAAGCAAAAAGTTTTACTAGTAGCTTGAAGATCACGTCTAAAGTGAACTGTTTTTGTGTACACTGAACCAATTGCTGTTTAAAATCATCACTAGAGTCTGACAGTCCTTTTCCATTCCACAGTTCTATGGGTTCCACTGTACCTGTAGATAGCAAAGATCTTGAGATAGTTCGAACGTGAAAACGATTCTCGATGATCAGCACAAAAAGGTTGTTTGAAACTGAATTGGAATTATTGAACGGGAGAGAAGTAGTTTTATAGTACTGCCAAAATCAAATCGAACTAAACAAGGGGTTCAGCTTAAAAAAGTAGTTCCAATACCAGTACATACTTTTACTCCTTTCAATAATCATTAATTTCGATCAATTGTACGAAATCTCAGCCATTTTCTTGCTTGTCCCTTTGTAACTCAATTTGTGTTGTGCAGATTATATTCTGCGGGGTGAAGAAGAGAATTATATTCTTAATGTTTGTGGACCCTTGATCTCCGACTGTAGTGGTGCTACCTGCCTTGAGTCCGGGGAGAGGTTGACCTACCTGGAGGGATCCCTGGAGATGAATATACATTCACGTACCTGCCCAGCGGATACTAATTCAACAATAGATGCAAGGTTGATATTATTCAGAATAAGATTTAATTTTCTTCTGAAAATTCACTTTCTTATAGTTACAACTTAACCTTAACCTTGATTGAAGTTATATTTTAAGTCAACTAATTCTCACTAATTTATAATTTTCCATGTCTGATGTTCACAAGTTATTTGTAAACTCGCTCAGTTCTTAGGAAATTTGATCAGATAAAGGTTTCAAGGTTAGGTTATTGCTGTGTATCGGGCGTTGCCAATGCCACCTTTGCGTTAAGACTCACTTGAAATTACCCCAACAGTCCCTTTAATTTAGGATTGTATTCCTGTGTAACCACGAGATAGAGAGGGGAGCTCCTGAGCTTGTTGTAGAGAGAGATTGTGAACTAGAGATAGAATGGAAAACTTCATTAGCTTGTCCACCCCATCAAGAGGTAGGGTTCAGGCATAGATTAATAAGAATACAGATGGAACATTAGATGTCGTTTTTTCAAGATTTGGTTTTTTTTCAAAGGAGTTACGCGTATGCTGCGCTAAATTACAAGATAAGAGAGAGAGCATGTGCATAACTCCTTTGGGCTTCTGCCTCAGAGATATTGTGAACGAAATATCCATGAAAAGACGACATCTAGTGTTCTATCTGTATTTTTTTAAATCTATGGGTTCAGGTTTCATCATTTACAAATTGAAAACAAAATGTGAGAAAATATTGTTTGAAGGTTCAGTGCAGTTTACCCACAATGGATGGAGTTATTGATCTTTCTTCTCTCTCTCTTCCTCATCAGAATTATCAGGTTAACATTATAAACATTTTTTCAAGTTTCTACTTCATATTTCCTAGAAAAATCATAGAAATTGTTAAGGGTATTTCTGCGGCGCGTGATATCTTTTTAAGGGTTTTTCGCTTTTGGAGACGTTTCAGAGAAAGAGAAAAATTTTACCTGAGTCCTATATTCAATAAATGTTTAAGCTAAAAATCTTCGAAGTTTATTACCCCCTCCCACCATGCCACCATTTGGCGGGAGAGGGGGGGGGAGAATTCGGAAAAATTTGGTTTTCTGATTATTTTTTATCCTAGGTTGAATCAGATACAGGAGAAATATTTCTGTTGAATGTGTGTAGATCTCTAGTTCATAATAATCAATCTAGATGTCCTTATCAGGCTGCTGCCTGCCTTCTTAACTCAGGTTCAAATTTAAGTTGTTAAAGGGACTGTAAGCGTAACTTCAAATGTCGTTCCATGCAAAGATGACAATGCCCGATCCAAAAGGGTAACTTCAAACTTCAAAAAGAATAAGATATTAAATATTATAAAAATTACAAAAAAATTATATAAAACATTGTTAAAAATGTTTATCATTTTTAACACTGATTATATTTAATTGTGAGATCATAAGTGACTTCACATTTCTGCTGCAGGAAAGCATAAAGGAATTCAAAGAATTAAAAGACTTTAAACCATTGAAAAACGACAATATCTTCCACATTATTGATCGGATAAAGGTTTCAAAGGTATCGTTTTGAATCAGACATTGTTATTTTGCATGGAGGGTCACTTGAAATTACGCCTACACAGTCCCTTAAATCTAAATTCTAAGTTTATGCATTTCATGGAATATACAATGAACATAGATGTAAATAAAACAGTTGACTTATGAGTATAATTATTTGAAACATGGTTAAAACTAAAAGTTTTCTTAATCATCCCCCTCCCCTGAAGATCAAATAAACTCGTAATATTTAAATACAATAAATTGCTTTAAAATAAGAAATTTAAAAATCATCATTTTGAAATTAAAATGAATGGCCCATTTGTTCAGAGGACACGATAGATGCGAATATTGGGGAAGTTGATTCATCTCTTCATCTTGATGAAGATGGAAACCCAATTCTTACATATACCCTGGGATCACTCTGTAAGGTAAAATCTAGGGTCCTTGAGTGCGCTCACCCAATGGCGGTCTGGGTTCTCCAACCTGGAGGGGGGAGGGCGGCTTACAGATCTTTCTCCTGATATTCCTGACGAAACTATAAAGCCTTGTTTCAATTTTCCTAATTTCTGAGCTTGGTATGGACCCTTTTGAAGTAATCGTTTCATTCATTGAACGGCGGATTGTCCTTTAATAATTATAAAATTTTTTGTTTGATTTTGGAACTTTTTCTGAAACCAGTTCAAGTATTCGGTGATCCTATTTATGTTATTATAAAGGGTATTATTACGAAAAAGATTGTCCTGGGATCTATTTTTTAGGTTTGTTTGAGATCAAAATAATAGTATTTTTACATCAGACGTAGTGATCGAAACTTTCCAGTTTAATATTCAATGGAGAACAAGTCACATTTATAAGAATCATATAGTCAGTTTAACTATTTTGAAACATGGCCGAAGGTCGGTGTTACAAGTCTAAAATTATTTCAGAAGTCTCATAGCCTGTTTTAAGAAGTTACAGATAAGTAAGTGTAGGAAATTAGTTTCAGTTGTGAGGAAATGCGTTCAGTTGTAAGGAAATAAGTTTCATTAGTAATGAAATCTTCTTCAATAGTGAGGGAATCAGTTTCAGTTGTAAGGACTAAGGACATCATCTTCTGTAGTAAAAAAATCAGTTTCAATAGTAAGGAAATCAGTTTCTGTAGTACGGAAATCAGTTTCAGTAGCAAGGCAATCAGTTTTAATAGTTAGGAAATCAGATTCAATAGTAAGGCATCAATAGTTAGGAAATTGGTTTTTTTATAGTAAAGAAATAAGTTTCATTAGTAAGGAAATCGTTTTTGTAAGGAAATTAGTTTCAGTAGTAAGGAAATCAGTTTCATTAGTAAGGAAATCAGTTTCATTAGTAAGGAAATCAATTTCAGTTGTAAAGAAATAAGTTTCACAAGTAAGGGAAACAGTTTTACTAGTAAGGAAAAAAGTTTCAGTTGTAAGGGAAACAGTTTCACTAGTAAGGAAAACAGTTTCAGAAGTAAGGAAAACAGTTTCAGAAGTAAGGAAATAGTTTCAGAAGTAAGAAAATTTGTTTGAGTAATAAGTTTATTGTTTATTGTTGAATAATCCTCAGGAACCCATGTAGAGTTATAATGAGGATGTCTTTAAGGACTTGGAGTTGCTGATGATGGTTCTTTGTAACTGGTAATGTAGCATCAGCATCTCACGGATACTGTCTGAATTTGTCATAGCTTCTCTTGAAGATATTGACTGTAGTCGACTGTTTAACTTCTTGTGGGATAGAGTTCCATTTTCTTGGAATTCTCAGGCTGAAGAAATTGTTCCTGATACTGGTCCTGGAGTTTTGTATTTCCAAGTTCAAAGGGTCATTAGCCATTCTTGTCACTCTGTTGTGGTTGATCTTTCTAAACCATGTTGCAGGGTTGACATCACAGAATCCATGAATTATTTTAAATGTCTGAATCATGTCGGCCCGCTCACGTCTTTCTTCAAGTGAAAGCAACTTCAACTTATTTATGTAAGTGATACTTTCTTATCAACAGGTTAAATTATGAAATTTATGCTGTTTAATGGAACTGTAAGCGTTATTTCAAGTTACCATCTATGCAAAGATGGCAATGCACGATTTACAACAGTACAATGGTACAACGGTACAACGGTACCCTGAAAAGCTTTTTTTTATTAAAAATGTAGAAGATATTGTCGTTTTTCTGAGAATTTCTTAATTGCTTCCTAAACATAAGAAATTTTTCAAGTCACTTTTGCAGAAAAAACCGCGAATAAAAATGAACAGTTAAGAAAACAAAAACATGGATATTGAAAACTTGATCAGACAAAGCTTTTTAGGGGTACCGTTGTGAACAGGACATGCCAGAGAGTCACTTGAAACTACGCTTACAATCCCTTTAACCAAATAATATTTAGGATCCTGAGAGTAGGTTGGGTCACACCCAGACTAGTATTAAGTTCCTGTGTGATCCGGAACGTTTTGATTCTGAGCCTGAGTTTCTTGAAGTCTTTGATTGTCATTACTCCTTCCAATGGATCAATGCTGCTGCCTGTCCGGTCCAAACGTCCATGGTAAAATATTTGCATCCACCCCCATCCCTCTCTCCGTCCATAACTTTTTCATACATTTTATTTTATGTTATCTCTGAATTCTTAAAAAAAAAATAAGAAAACGGTAAAAAAAAACATTGAACACTTCGTTTTTTACCCCAAAATTTCTAAAAAAAAATTCACTAAAAAATGTGTTCTTTGAATTTTTAAAAGGCTGACTTTTTTGTTCGTTGAATTTTAATCATCAATTTTTAGAAGGCTGTCTTTTTGTAACCAATTTCCTCAATTCTTCAGGCAACCTAAGGGGATGGGGGTCATATTTATTCTCCATATGTTCTCCTTTACGTTATTCTTTACTAATAAATCCTTTAAAATTTAGGGAAACTGTTCAGTGACAAGTCCACAGTCAGGATTTACTTTTGATCTCAGGAAAATTGAAAACACGATATTTTTTCATAAAATAAGTTTTTTTTCTGGGATTTTACTTTCTTTTAAACTTTTATTTTTGTTAAATGCTTGAGAAAAAAATGAAATAAATGTTGAACAGTGATAACCAGAAAACTGTAGAATAGGAAGACGCCATTAAAGTAATACAGAAGTGCATTTGATGTTGTTACAAAGCAATAGTTTTACTAGTAAGTTATTAAATCACTCATAAAGTGAAATGGGTCTGTTTACGCCGTACAATTGCTGTATCTCATGTTCATCGGACTAATAAAAGTCATAACTTAAGTCTAAAAGTCTACTTAATATTCCAGAGTAAATTATTTACCCTTCTAGCTCTAATCTTTATCAATAGATAATTTTGTAAATACTGGTAAATATTTAATTTTTTGATTTAACAGTTCTCTGAATAAACCTCAAGGATGGAGATGGACTGATACTGGACATCATATGATTAATCAGCTAGGTTAGATATTAATTGAAAAATGTTGATTTTACCTCAAATCCTATTTTTATCTGCGTCAACCACAAACCTAGGATGATCATTTTAGATACGTATCCTTTGGATTGAAGTTTTTGAGAAGTTTTTTCTCACCGGGTCAAAACGGCTGAACCTGATAAGCCCACATTTTGTGTGGGACCTCACATGACCCAAGGGAAAAAAATTCATTAAATTTAAAAAATCCACGCCCTTTATTAATGAAATCCGTAAAAAAATGTATACCAATGTATACCAAGAGAAAATGTTCACAATTGCAATAGAAGATGGGCGCCAAGCGCCCAAAAAGCCATGTAATTTAAAATAGAACTGGGATGTCTGTTTGTGTGTCTACCATCTAGTATTTTAAACCGAAGAAGGTGGTTGGGTTTGTGATTCTAATGGATTAAATCTGTATTTTCTAGATTTAAATGTTTGTGGAGGATTACCATCTAGTATTTGCGCTGATGGTGGTGGGGTTTGTGACTCCAATGGATTAAATTTGGGACAAGCCAACTCTAATCTTACTTATTCAGAGGAACAACTGTTCCTTACTTACTCGGGAGGTAAGATTTATAAAACTAAGGAAATATTTTTTAGAAAGATGAAATTTAGAATTAATGCTTTATTCACTGAAATTACTGAAATATCTTAGTGTTGGCCATGAATATAATTATAAATAATAGTTGACGAAAATCATAAGTTCATAAAATGTCAATAAGGTGGCACTAGACATTAAACAGTTCATTTTTGAATATTTTTTAGCTAGCTTTTTTTAACTAACACAAAGTTGCAATATTTTTTTTTATCGATGTTCATTTTTATATAATAAAAGGTATTTGTCCGGGAAATCCTGGATCCACAGCAGAAACTAGAATAAAATTTATTTGTCCCCCAAGGTAAATAAAAAAAAATTTAAAACATAATTCGATAAAAATATATAAATTTTTCTCTGGGTGAAATTAATGATTACCTTAATATACAGGGTTCTTCACAAAGGATGAGACTTCAGAGACGATTGTATGAAAAAACTGTTCGTTTCCATTCACGATTCTCTGCAAACTTTTTTGTTTCTTTGCCAAATTATTGAATAAACCATTAGGTCACAATATCTAAGGCAGAATACATATATTAAACCGGGGACTGTTTTATTTCAAGAGTTTACGGTCGTCTTTACGGACTTAATCTTTGTGGGTAACCCAGTATATATTCATAGTAGACAGATTTTCTTAAAGCTAATATTGAAATTTTATATGTTGATAAACTAGTTGACACATTTATGTGAAAACTGTTGGAATGTGAAAACTGTTGGAATGTGAAAACTTTTGGCATGTGAAAACTATTGACATGTGAAAAATGTTGGCATGTATAAACTGTTGGAATGTGAAAACTGATGGTATGTGAAAACTGTTGACATGTGAAAACTGTTGGAATGTGAAAACTGTTGACAATTGAAAACTGTTGACATGTGAAAACTGTTGACATGTGAAAACTGTTGACATGTAAAAACTGTTGGCATGTGAAAAATTTTACTTGTTTTATAATTACGTCACATTTTCTTCATTTTATTATTTCCGCCGGAAATGATTATTGTGGAAGATCTATTAATATTCCAGACAATGGATCGGGATGGAAATGAGTTTCTGTTGAACGTGTGTGGTCCCCTGGTGGTCACTGACGTCCCTAGGTCAGGGTGTAATCCCCAGGGAGTTTGTGGATACTACAACGGAGATTACGTAGGTCAGATAGACATGCATTATTTGTTGATAATTTGATTTTTATTTACTCAAGATAATGGTTGATGGTGGACTTTTAAATTAATTTTAAGGTTCTATTTTTCACTGCCACTTGTAAGTAGTGCAAATGTTTCTGTTATTAGGATTACATTTCCTAATTCTTTTCGATTCCAATTTTTATTGGGAATCACCGAATTATATGTCATTGAATTTTGGCAAGCCTTTGGGATAACATGTTCCCAAAATTTGTAAAAATTATGAGAGTGTAGTATAAAAAAGTTTTTTTTTATTACAAGCAACTTTTTGTTCATTTTTCAGATTTTTCTATCAAAAAATTTATTTTGGACATTGATTTATCAATAACTTGCTAAATTAATATTTTATTTGTCTAATATTCTCCTAGGTATGGGGAAGGTTCTCTCCTCGCCTCGAGTAGTAGCTAACGGTCATATTGAGCTACGGTACGAAGAGGGAGATATCTGTGATGGTTCAGGAGGCACCTGGAGTTCTACAATATATTTCACCTGTGCTGAAATAATTGACCCTAAAGCACCCTTTGGGAACCCTCGCCTTGTCTCTATGGATTCTACTAACTGTGAAGCAGTGTTTAAAGTTGCGACAATACTTGCTTGTGCTAATACATCCAGGTAATATTCAGTTAAAATGCATCCAGATATTTTATTATTATTCTTCATTTATTCATCTTTTCATTCAGCCTTCTATTCAATTATTCATTCTTTTATCTGTTCATCCTTTTATTCATTAGCCATTGGTCCCATAATTCATTAATTCATGTATTTATTCATTAATAATTCAATGAACGAAAGGGTAAACGAATAAATTAAAGGATAAAAAGAGAAAAATTAAAAGATAAATATAAAGATAAACGATTAAATGAAAGGAGAAATGAAAGGAGAAATGAAAACATAAATGAAAACATAAATGAAAACATAAATCAAATGAAAAGATAAGGGTCATTCCATGTCAAGTCAACCACCTGTCAAGCTGTCACAGATTTTACTGAAATTTTGACTGAGTCTTTTTAAGCAGTGGGGGTATGATAAATAATTTGACCCCACCTAAGACTAATATCTGAGGTGTAAAAATAGACCTACACTGAAATATTTAAAAATTAGTAATACACAATGCATTTTTAGTGTACAATAGTTTAAATAAATACTATTGATGGTCTCTTTTTATGATTTAGATCACTTACTCACATAAAAGTATCAAATATTAAATAATTATCAATGTTTAGGAGAGATAACAATAATTAAGCAGAAATACTACCTGTTAGTTACATTAAGAAATCTAAATTAGCATTACATTATCAGGTCTCCTCCTCAACAGGAACAAATACATATAAAAAAAAACTTTTCTAACCCCTTCCTTATGGTAGTATAAAAATATATTAAAAAAATCAAAACAATCCGGAATTGGTACACATCCTCAAACGGAGGCTGAAAATAGAGAAATGCAATTATGACCTGTAAATAATATTTTAATGATATTTTTTCTTTTAACGCCAAATGTGATAACCTATTCAAAACTGAAATTTTTTTGGAGCTATCTTTTAAAACAAAAAAGTTAGAGCCATTTGATTTATAGAGGCCGTCCTCGAAATCTCAAAATATCAGAAACTTTCCAGAGCCATATCTACGGCCTCAGAGGTCTCAGAATGATCATCTTCGGGTTCCGTGATTTTTTTTTCATATCCTAATTGTATGCAAAATTTCAGCAAATCTGTGACATGCTGTCCATCAGGTGGCTGACTTGACATGGAATGACCCATAAATGAAAAGATAAATGAAAAGTTAAATGAAAAGATAAATGAAAAGTTAAATGAAAAGATAAATGAAAATAAAAATGAAAATACAAATGAAAATACAAATGAAAAGTTAAATGAAAATACAAATGAAAAGATAAATGAAAATAAAAATGAAAATATAAATGAAAATATAAATGAAAATATAAATGAAAAGATAAATGAAAAGATAAATGAAAAGATAAATGAAAATATAAATAAAATATAAATGAAAATATAAATGAAAATATAAATGAAAATATAAANTGAATAAAAGGATGAATGAATGAATGAATGGATAAATGAAAGGAAGGATGAAAGGATGAATGAATGAATGAATGAATGAATGAATGAATGAATGAATGAATGAATGAATGAATGAAAGGATGAATGTTTAGGGAGATGGATATCCATGAGCCTGATTCTTGTAAGATCTATCATCCGGGTAGACAGAAGTATGTAGATCTATCTAACCTGGAGAAACCAGGGAAATATATAGTTCAAGATCCGACCTCACAACAGGTTAATATACTGATCGGGCCAAAAGTCTAGAAATTGGGAAAGAATTGAAATTGTTACCCAAAAGAAGGAAGCCTCAAACAATCCCTGTATAATATGATTTGATTTGATTTGAATATAATTCTAGTTACAGGTTATTACAATTTTAGTATTAGAAGTTGATAATATATCAATAAATACCTAAATTGTCCCCTCTTTTCCTTCCTTTCCCATAAATCAATTTATGGTTCTGAAAAGTTTAAATTTTGCCTGAAAACATCTTAAAATGGTTTTTCTGTCATATTTACCGCAAGCCTAAAAAAATCCAAAAGGGCCTTATTAAGAAAGCAAAAATTAAAAAGGTCTTAAAATTATTAATTTATTTAATTCCATTGCCCTTTTCATTGTCAAACTTGCCATTCATATGTGGTTCTTTTTCCTAACATTGAGTGATTTTTCATTAAATGTACGAAATGCCCGCCAGCTTCTTGGCAGAAAAATTTAACTCTTGTCATTGACATTGTGATATAACTCTTCTGCATGTAGTTTGGAACAGTTATCTTGTTTACAGGTTTGTATTTAAAGATAAAGTCTCTTCGAAGCTGAGTCAACCCATTTTTTCGATAACTAGCCTTATAAGGCGCTTCGCGCCCATCTTCTAAATTAATTGTGAACATGTTCTCTTTGTGTACATCGTAAAACAAAACAAAAATAATTCGCGGATTTTCACAAAAAATTTCGTGGATTTTCAAAATTTTCAAAAATTTATTGAAGATCGAATTTTGATGCAGACAAATATTTAAAATTTTGATCATTCATAAACCTACCCTGTGGGCACGTGATGTCCCACAAAAAATTTGGGCCCGATCGGTTCGACCGTTTTGACGTTTATTGGATACAAACAAACAGACACCCAAACAAACAGACAGACAAGCCAAATTTATATATAGATTAGTGATTTTTTGGACTTTTTGAAAATATGTTTGTTACGCTTTGAATGAATTTGCAGATTTCTCTTTTTATATTTTGCGATTTTTCATAATAGATTATCAATCTCATATTTGATTAGCTTTTTAGAGAACTTAGATATTTAAACATTACTGAATTATTGGCGTTTGAAAATTGACATTAAAAAAAAAACACCTAGTAGTTTACTACACAATGGGATCTTAATAACATTACCTACAGATATCAAGGGTTTTGTGAATCATCATAACACCTTTAAAAAGTGGCTCTACGACATTAGAATGCGATAACTAAATTAACAACCTGTATATCAACATGTATTGAAATTTAAGAAGAAATATCGAGCAAGGAAATAGTTGAAATAGTAACATTGGGAATGTCACTTGAAATTATGTGTTGTCTAGGTTAAGTATGAGATCCAACCCTGTGGTTCTGTAGTATCCAGCTGTGGAGGATCTGTGTGTAAGGTTGAAGGGATGAACAACTATTCCCTCGGCAAGATGAACGATGTAAAATATTTCCCGGAGTCTGAGGAACTCAGGGTTAGATATCTAGAGGTATATTGCAGAATTAGAACAATTAAAGGGAGTGTTTACGAAAATGAAAATGGGACTAGAGATGACCCAATAAACCATATTTAGAGTGAATTGATTTTTTAAACTTGTTTTTTTTCTATCTGATGTTTCTGAAAATAAGAATTAAAGGATGGGTTTGCGAAAATGAAAACTGGGACTAAATATGATTAAAATGAACCTTATTAAGGGTCTGAATCGATGTGTAAAAGTATATTACTTCTATCTGATGTGTCTGCAAGTAAGAATATGAATTAAAGCGAGTGTATGCGAAAATCGGGGTTAAAGATGATTTAATGAAAGTGTAAACTGATTTTTAAAATTATGTTAAATCTATCTGATGTTTCTGTGAACAAGAAGAAGAATTAAAGGGAGCTTTGAAAAAAATTATAACTGGGGTCAAAGATGGTTTGATAAACTTTATTTACTTTGTGAATGGATATGTAAGATTATGTAACCTCTCTAAAGTTTCTGTAAATTAGAAGAAAAATCAAAGTGAGTGTTTGCGAAAATTGTCGTTAAAGATGATAAAATGAACCATATTTAGCTCCACCAGTAAAAAACCGGTTCTCATTGAAAGTAAAAAGATTGTTTGTGCTATTGAGAAATTTCAAATATAAAAGTGATATTAATCTATTCATAATCCAATTATGGATGAGCTTCCTGAGGTGTACGAGGGGAGGAAGGCCAACTACAACAATTTCTCGTCCGAGCCACATTCTCCTCATTTTCTCGTCCGAGCCACCTCGAAATCCTCGTACTTTCAATATTATTGAATCTTTTCCTTCCAGATAAAGCTATTTTTTAAGAATAAAGCCACGTTAGGGCATAAATGAAATATCAATTTTTGTAAATATGCAGAGGCAGAAAAGATTTAAGTTTTACCTAAATAAAGTTTGACATCATTCTTTTGGGTTTGAACTTTGAAGATTCCAACATGATATAACCATTGCAATACTTTAGTCCATCCATATTTTATGCCCTAACGTGGCCAGATTTTAGAAAAATAGTTTTATCTTCAAGAATTGGAGACTTTTAATCAAAGGACGAGGATTCCGAGGTAGCTCGGCCTAGAAAATGAGGAGAATATGGCTCGGACAAGAAATTGTTGTGGCTGGCCTTCCTCCCCTCGGTGTACCTTTTATCATTATGGTTATTATCATCATATTTGTTAATATTGTCTTTATTATAATCCATGTTTTAGGGAGACCTTTGTGGGATTGAAAACAAAAGATTCATGACTAAAATTTACTACAGGTACAGTAAGTAACCACTAACTTCTGTACACCTTATTTGCTTTTAACATTATTTTCCATCCTCAAAAGTTTTGTTCCCCCTTAATAAAAAAAAAAATCTGAAAACGTATCCACCCCCAAAGTAGGAGTTTTGAACGTCGGATTTGCGCTCAAACTCAGGATTTCCAGATCTTTATAAAGTAAAATATGTCTCAAATGAATCCGAAAGAAGTTTTCCACAACACAACACTGCATATTCAGTTCAACTACCTTACGTAGCCGGTCACTCCTTTTAAGAAGAAGTTATTTTCAGTCAAAAGTTATATCTAATAATATGATATAATAATATATCTAATTAATCTTTTAAAACAAATTGTCATTTAGAAAATTTTAGAATACTATATATTATTACTAGCTGATGGGCCCGGTGTTGCCAGTTGAAAAAAAATTTGAAGAAAAAAACTTTGAATTTTTAAGCCCATAACAGGCCACCCATGAGTGTGCACAAAAAAAATTTCAGCCCAATCAGTCCAGCCGTTTGGCCGGCTATACGCAACATATATATATATATACGAATGTCTTGTTTTATCATATAGATATCATATCTGTTCGGTTCCATAGTAGTAAGCATATCGTGTAAGAATTCCCATTATTACACGGTTCAGGAGGAACAATTTTAATAACAATTTTAATTAAAAACTAGAAACTACTTTAAGAAAACCATATTTCTGATCCATTTAACTTGACAACTCCCTTTAACTATGATCTTTTTGTTTGAGATTACTCCCTTTAGCAGATACCTTTGTTATTTGAATTACCCGACCTTAATCGTTCTAATTGTCTAGCAGCCTAGACAAGAACGGGAAACTATTTTAACTGTACCCTGTCTTTGTTTGCGATCCCTCCCTTTAACAGCGACATTTCTTTCGTTTGAAATTACTCCAATTGGTTGCGTTATATTTCATATGTAAGACCCACACCGAAATATTCTATTTTCTAGCTGTGATCCCAGCGCTGGAGTAGGATCGCCTAGCCTGGACAAGAACGGTAAACTAGCTTGTATGATTATCTTGAACTGGAGAACTATTGAGCTGTGTACCAAGGAGGAGATAGATAGATACAGACAAGGTTAGTTAAATACTTCTAAATTTTATTTTTAAAGTTTAAGTTCTGACATTGTCAATTCTTGTCTTCTAGAAAAGTTTGTTGTAAATAAAGCGTAATATAGAATCGTGATTTCAAGTGACCTTGTAATTAAGTGTAAACTTTTGCGGATTTTAGAGTTTTTTTTAGCATTTTTTCGGTTAAAAAAGGAATAAAAGTGTGGGGAGTGCATTTGATTTGATTTAATATAAACAACTGCCTTGTGTATAGTTTGTGAAATTATATTTTTGCCCGGATTTTTACTTAATTTAGTTTGTTTGAGGTTAAAATACTGGCAAAAATATAATGTTCCGTATCATTATAACACTAGGGAGTTGTATAAATAGATATTAATATCATTAAACTCGTGATTGAAAAGTTAAATATTAAAATACTTTTATAACTTGATCATTTACAATTGTAGTTGTTTATGCTGAGCTACACTGTTGTAGTTTACGGAGACTAGGGTTTTGATTCCCTTGGATTAAGTTACTTGATCTGAGAACAACATTAAAGTGCCATTCTAAAATTTTCTAATGACTTAGATATCCATTGACACAATTATCTCATTATCTCATTATCTTCTTATCCAATTATCTTATTATCTCATTATTTGATTATCTTCTTATCCTGTTATTCAACTATCTAATTATCTATTTATCTAATTATCTCATTATCTCATTATCTCATTATCTCATTATCTCATTATCTCATTATCTCATTATCTCATTATGTCATTATCTCATTATTTCATTATCTTCTCATCCCATTATTCAATTATCTAATTATCTCATTATCTCATTATCTTCTTATCCTATTATTCAACTATCAAATTATCAAATTATCAAATTATCAAATTATCAAATTATCAAATTATCAAATTATCAAATTATCAAATTATCAAATTATCAAATTATCAAATTATCTAATTATCTAATTATCTAGTTATCTAATTATCTCATTATTATTCTTGTTTAAGTATCTTAAATTAAGAGTGAAAGATATTATGATAGTTTTTAAAAATACAAAGAAATAATGACAATTTTCAAATAGTTGTATTTTTATTAATTAGAACATTATGATCATTGTGATGATTTAGGAGGAGGGAAGGTTGTAGATGTAGATATCAAAGATACAACTACTGTCAAGGAATTAGTTCCTCCAAACACGGGTAAATTAAAAAGTTTTTCTTACAACATTATTATTGACTATTAGAATCTTTATGCTGTTTTTATGAAACTTTTTAAATATATTGATTGAAGACTTAATTTTAAATATATTGATTGAAGACTTAATTTTAAATGACCCCTCGTTTATGGTTAGGCATGTGCGATGAACAATAGTACACTTAAAATCATAGTTTTATCAAGAATACTACATCCTTTTTGTTTTTCTGAAAATTGATTATTACCAACTTTTATTTCGGTGTAAATATAACTTGAGGAATTATTCTGCAGAAGCAATAAAGGAAATTATCAGAATGCATTCCTCTACAGTGGTATGCTATTATATCAAAGCAATTAAGACAACTTTCGGTTTAAATTTTGATTTATATAAAGCTTTTAAACAGCATTGACACACATAGAAGTCAAGAGAAGCTGTCAATTAAAAAGCTTTTCTTTGTTTACTTGTAATCTTAAGATTTGAAAAAGCTAACTTGTTAGAAATCAAAACAAAAATTAAATAATCGTCTTCATTGTATTGATATAGTCGGCATTAATTGCCTACCACTGTAGCAAAACAACGAGATCTTTTTCGTTTAGATAAATATTTCTGAATCGGACATGCCACTCCATCAAATAAAGGCTAACCAGAAATTACCTTTTTAATGCAGTAATTCACATAATCCAGATAATTGATTTATAATCCAGAAGATTGATTTATAATCCAGATAATTGTTTTATAATCCAGATAATTGTTTTATAATCCAAAAGATTGATTTATAATCCAGAAGATTGATTTATAATCCAGATAATTGATTTATAATCCAGATAATTGATTTATAATCTAGAGAATTGATTTATAATCCAGATACTTGATTTATATAATCCAGATAGTTGATTTATAATCCAGATAATTGGTTTATAATCCAGATAATTGATTTATAATCCAGATAATTGATATATAATCCAGATAATTTATTTATAATCCAGATAATTGATTTATAATCCAGATAATTGATTTATAATCCAGATAGTTGATATTTGGTGGCTGATTAAATTACATTTTGTTTAGGAATGTCCTGGGGTCATATAATTATTGTGCTGATGATGGTGGTCGGTATAGCAGGAGGTGTTTATATATACAGAACTCCAGGGGCCAGGGAGAGGGGTAACAGGACCCTCCAGGAGCTTAGGGCCAGGTATTCAAACTTTAAAGGGACGGTTTGCGATTATTGGAAAAAAGATATGGATACAAAGACTGCAATTTCTGAAAATAGTACCAGAAAGTGCTTCTTAAACTAAAAAGAAAGTTTTTTTTTGATTAAAAGGAATTCAGGCCAAAAATGCTCTGAGGTATAGACTATAGAGGAGGACTTGAAACTCCAATCCACTAATGGAGTCTTAGGCCATCCTTGCAACTTATGATTTGATTTTATTTGATTTGTCTACATTATCTGCACTGCGTTGTATTAGGACAGCTCTAGAACTGGCTTCATTAATCATTAAAAATAACAACATAACAGAGTAATATAAAATTTAATACAGAGCCTTGTTTATGATCTTTGTTATTGTTCCTAATTAGTTCTATAATAACCTCGTTGGATCTATATGTCATAATAAAATGCAAACAAACCCTAACTTCCTCTCCTCAATATACTCTTATTGGATCTATCCACCTCTGTTGTGTAATGAACCGGCCAATGATCAGAAACCAATGTTAAGGATTCTCTGGCTTTATTCTGTTTCTCAGAAGAAGAAAAGATTGGAGTATTAAATGTGTAACTTAAAAAAACTGAAAAATTCTTTATATAGGTTGCCTGTTGTGCTGGGCGGACGATCCAGGAATGATTCTACTCTACTCGTCTCTAGTCCTGGAGCTCTCTTTTCGGATGAGGACGAATATTCTTAGTCAATATATTTTCATCTATCGTCCTTCTACCACCTTTATCCGTCCTCATTAACGCATTTTTATGCTAAACTTCGATTTGTCAAATCATCGACCTTACGTATCCTTTTAGAAACATTTATTATTCAATTTTAATTCCATTCCATTTAATTCCATTAATGAATAGAGAGGCAGGGTTGGTTAAACTACTTCTGCGAGGTTAAGCTACTTTTCACTATTCATTGAATCTGGTTCCAGTGCAGAAGAAATTTTTTAAACTCAAATTGATGTTTGAAACTTATAATTGTGATATATCCAGCTAGGATATTCAAAAAGTATCAAAATATTCAAACTTGGATCTAAATGTCAAAAAATAGACAATTTGACATTAAACTAAAAAGACCCGCAAACTTTATGCTCGTAACATTCCATCAATATAATATATATGTGTGGTATTAACTCAGTGTATAGCAAATCTATTATTATTATTATTATTATTATTTTAATCATTATCAATGCTGTCGTTAAAATCTTCATTTGTGAAAACTGTTTGAAGGGAATATATGCGTAATTTCAAGTAACCCTCCATTGATAGAGTGGCATGTCCTTATTAACAACAGTACCAGTAACAACTTTGTCTATTCAAGAATATATTAAGATATCCATGCTTTTTTGGGGGTAACGGTTTGTTTTCATATGAGTTTTCCTTACAAACGCGACTAGCGCATTTCTTCCTTCAGAAAACAAATGCTCGAAATAACAGAATTAAACACTTTTTAAGCCAGAAAAACGAAGTTTTTTCCACATACTTGATCAGAAAAAGTTGTGTTAAATAAACTATCTTGAATCTGGCATGCTTCTCTTAAAATATGGGTAATTAGGACTCTTCAAGTTGTTCGTTTCCATTAAATATCTGTGATTGTGAAACAAGGTTTAAAGCATAGTTTACCCTTTATTATGAAAATGACTGATGAAATTTACAAAAACTTGTTCTTCAACGTAAAAACGTGATTTTCAAAAGATCTGTATTCTATTTATCACGTGAATCAGACATTAAAAATCCGATGTTGCTTGTTGTCAGCTAATCCGATTTCAAGCAATTTTTTCCCAAAAAAATGATTTACAGAAGAAAAAAAAATTAACCGTCCATCACCGCGACCCCTTTCTATAAACATATCTGCAGTCTACAATCTACATGTATGCCCGTGCCATATCAATAGAACCTTCTCAACATTTCAGTGCCTTCAATTTCTATATATTAAGATTTATTGAGACGGGTTCTTCATTTCAATCTATAAAACGACATAAATTTGGATTCGCACCATATTATTAAATATCTGTTAAAAATGTATTGTATGTATTTGTTAGACATTTAGCATTTAAATTTTTTTCAGCTTAGGTTGTGTAACAAGGACTCAAAAGTGAAGTAGTTGTCTGTTTCAGAGTAGAAATGTTAGGGACCTGTACTCCCTTTTTGAGCCTAGGGGCAAGGTTAAATTTAAAATTAGAACCACGGATTCATTCAGCTACGAAGCTTTTCTCTTCGGGATACACATCAGAAATCAATAAATCCTTTGGATTTTCTGAAAAATCCTCCAAACTTTTTCCAAGTAAATCCTTGAACCACATAAATCCGCGAAATCTTCATACTTCTTTAACTAATTACAAGAAGTACAAGAAGTCCCGCTTGGAACAGTTCAAGAGTAAGTTTGTAAGCGCAGAGGATTTAAACAAACGTCCATCTGATCTAGAGATTGCCAAGAAAGGATTGCCGCCCAACCAGCCGACCCTGCAGGGGAGAATAGAGAGGGATAGAAGACATATGTTTCATCAAATGGATCCTAAACATGGATACTGGACAAAGTAAGTACATGTATACTGTACATATTTAGACTAATTGTACATCAAACTTTTTTTAAATCTGATAAAATTGTCGCTAAGAACAGACTTATTTTTTTGTTACATGTTGTTTCATTCAGTATTCCGGAAATATCAAAACACTGATTTGTTTATTGTTTAATTTAGTAAACCGGCTCCTGTTATGTTTTGCTTATTTCAGTAAACCGGTTCCTGTTATGGAACAGATGAAAATAGAAATGAGAAGTAATCCTAAGAAGCTTTTGACCCAAAGTTTTCAGGTTAGCTTTTTTGAATTTTTAAAAATGTCGTCTAAGTTTGATTTTTTAGAAATTTCGATTTGTTAAAATATAATTATGTTATTTCAACGTAACATAAGGTTTAATAGCAAATTACGTGGGGCCAATTAATTTATCCAACATAACCTTTCATAAAACCTCTAATTTCGCCTACAATCTACCCCATTTAATTGGAAGACATTTCGCCCTGATGGGCTGGCTGGCAACGTGCGGTCAATTCATTCAGTTAACATTGAACAGATTAAACGGTCAAATCCACGGATAGTTCTAGCGGTCAAACTCACGGCGCTCCAAGGGATACCCGGAGACTCAGCGCGACGGTCAAATAGCCCTCAACGTGTATATAAACCTGAGCATGATTGAAGAACTTTAATTCTTGCTAGGATTTTATTGAGATCATGAATTGCTCAGGATATAAAACTCAACCCTTGATGAGGAAAAAGAGCAACGAAAGTGGATATTTTAGTTCCGGATCAAGTCCTGCTACTGGATATCAGAGCTGTGGCTCCAGCCTTTCTCCTGGATATCAGAGCTATAGTTTCACTCTTTCTGGATATCAGAGTTCCGGTTCCGCCCCTTTTACTGGTTATCAGAGCAATAGCTCAAGCTCTTCTCCTGGATTTCAGAGTTTAGGTTCCGCTCATTTAACTGGATATCAGAGCTATGGTTTAAGTTCTTATTCTGGATATCAGAGTTTAGGTTCCACTAGTTCTTCTGGATATCAGTGTTCCGATTCCGCTTCTTTTACTAGATATCAGAGCAATGGCTCAAGCCCTTCTTCTGAATATCAGAGCAATGGTTCAAGTCCTTCTCCTGGAAATCAGAGCTCTGGTTCTATCCTTTCTTTCGGACATGAAGGATCAGAGTCCCCCGTAGACCTAGAGTTTATTAGATCCAATCCTCCACCACAAATCCGTATACTAAAACGGGGAGAAATTCCAATTTCTGCTCCAGGCTCCCCTGAGACTCAACGCTGGTCCAACTCCGGAAACCATCCCTGCTCTACCGTCTGCTACCAAGAGAAGAAAAGTTTTAGTAACTATGAAATCCTGAAGAGGAGTATAAACCAATACTGTTGTAACACTGAGTTCTACACTGCAGAAATGATTGAGATTCTAGTCCTGGCTCTAGCGTGTGATGCTGTGAGACCTATTTACGCATAGATCTTATTTAGAACATTCTTGAATCAGTTACTTTTGTAAACAGTATATTTGTGTGATATTTTAAACTGTAAATAAATGTGTTTTAACACTCAAGCTTTTGTCTTTTCTTGTGAAACTATTACAATTTAAAATGTAATAACAATGTTGAATTGAAATGTTTTTGGGAAAATTTATACTTTTAAACAGGATGGCCCAATAAACATGGGCATTTAGTGAGGATTATGATGTAAAGAGGATCTTCAAAAAATCTTAAGTTTAATAAATATGTTGAGTCTGACATACGATATATGCCTGAACGAGTTTTAAAATTCTGATAAGGTCAGAGGCAAATAGCTTTTGTCAGAGCTCAAAATTTTGTTAAATGCAGAAAATGCACTTGTACATTGAGAACTGGATAAGGATAGACAACTTTTTGCTTCAAGTTTTGACTTTAAATAGTCCAATGAACATGAGACACAGAAATTGTTCAGTGTGAACAAACTCATTTAACTTAAAAACTGATTAAATAAGTTATTTGTAAAACTAATTGCGTATTAACCATATCAAATCCGCTCAAGTATTAGATTAATTTCGCTTTCCTATTCAGATTTCTGGCTCTCATGTTAGAGAAAATGATTTTAGAAGATTTAGATCTAGTGAATTTAATAGATTATTTTTAAAGCTACATGAAACCTAAAAAGCTTAAAATATAAAAAAAACGGATCAAATATAATGCCCAACACTTCCTGTCATGTGGTTTAATCCCCCTAATTTTCGTTGTACCATGGTCTATACATTTCCTGTTGTCTAGATAGTGAAGGGGGAGGTGGAGAAGTGGACGGATGAGGTGAAAGGAGGGGAGTACAACGTCAACAAGAACCTCAGGGAGGCCTTCGTTCGACCAGGACAAAGGAATAAAGAGTGGGGTTTCCAATCGGTGAGTTTTTCTGTAGTTCATTTCTTCAATTTGATATTTAGAAATCTGGTCTGTAAGTGTTGTGTTTATTATATCCTGGAGCTAGAACTAGATGATTGGATAACACTTGTTATGTTTATTATATCCAGGAGCTGGAACTAGATGATTGGCTAACACGTGTTATGTTTATTATATCCAGGACCTGGAACTAGATGAATGGATAACACGTGTTATGTTTATTATATCCAGGAGCTGGAACTAGATGATTGGATAACACGTGTTATGTTTATTATATCCAGGAGTTGGAACTAGATGCATGAATAACACGTGTTATGTTTATCATATTCAGGAGCTGGAACTAGATGAATGGATTGTAACACGTGACTCTGACTGGGGTGAAGGATATAGTTCCGCTGAACTAAAGATGAACAGTGCTGGTACTGGAGCTGTGTTTAGTGGAGAACTGTCTACTAGAGTACCAGCTGATGGTAGAACTGAGGAAGCAGGTCAGCATACTTTATCGAGTTCAATCAACAGAGCTGAAGAAAACTTTAGAATTGTGGATATCGAGATAAATGCTTGATCTCATCATTTATTAATCTCTAGATTAATTAATCTTCAGTTTGTATCCTGTTATGCATATAATTTAACCAATGTTGATTTTGAAATTTTGAGCGTGCAGTCAATGCGAAGATTAAATTAATCTTGAGATTGATAAATGATGAGATCAAGCGTTGATCTCGATAAAAAGTAGGTATATCTAAAAGAGAGAGGTTTAAGAAGAAAATCAAAAGGGTCCTTAGTGGGTAGAGAGATTTAGAAATCGGGATTAAGTGTATCCAATTATAAAGTTTTAAGCTCATTTCTGTAAAATTCCATCTTTACGTAAACTTCTGAGCTCTATTAAATGCTTAAAATGGACCAGGCTCCGATTTTGGGAAATACTGATATTATACCAAAAAATTGTCTCCTTGAAAAATGTGTTTACCCGTTTTCAACTCATATCTAAATTTTAAAATACCTTTTTTTTTAAAGAAAAAACAATGAAAATTTAAATCAATTTATTTTTTAATATTAATTTATTTACTAATAAAAAGTTTTTTAAATTTTTTTATTTTTGATTTATTTTTGATTTTTTAGGTTATGTAAACATTGCGAGTGTAACAAAACGAAAATCATTTGGAAGAATGAAACTTCTAAACCATTGGGATAATTACACTCATCTTACAATGAATATTAGAGGGGATGGAAGGTAAGAAAATAGAAATAGAAAATAAAACAATAATATGTGTTTCACTTTTTTCGAGGTTTTTTTTTTCGTTTTATTGATTTACGCCTGATTTGATTAACTGGACATATTCTAATTCTTTATTATTGTTTGTTCATGTTAGATTGATTGATTGGTTGGTTGGTTGAGTAATTTATCGATTGATTGATTGATTTCTTGGTTGAATGATTTATTGATGGATGGATGAATTGATTGATGTGTTGGTTGGTTGTTCGATTGCTTGGTTTGTTGGTTGATTGTTTGATTGATAGATTGACGAATTGGCGGATTGATGGATTGGTTGGTTGTTTGGTTGTTTTGTTGGTTGTTTGATGGTTTTTTGTTGGTTTTTGATTGATGGATTGATTGATGGATTAATGGATTGGTTTATTGACAAGGAAGTATCTGCTAAACCTGAAGGTGAAAAGAGATCTAGATATAACCTGGGATGATCGGTGGCATTATCCTCTATATACCAGGAATCAGAAAATCAAATTTAGCTTTCATCTTTTTCGGCAAAAATTGAGAATCTTTTTTGTTCTTCATCCATGTTTACAGTTGTTTGTTTGTTGTTTTTTCAATTCACTTCTAAATTGTTACATTTTTATTCTCCCAGAAAACTGTTTTTACCCTTTAAAGAAAAACTTTAAAAAGCCTTTTTTACTGATTTCTTCTGATAATAGAGGAGGACCTTACTGGCAGTACGTTAAAATACCTTTTTCAAAATTCATTTTTGGTAAGTCTGAAATCATTTTTTCAAAATTTATTTTTGTTGAGTCAGAGTTTTTTTTTTTAATCTAGTTTTGGCTTGTCAAAATTCAAAGTTAAGTCTGAGTTCTGTTATTTTATGTTTTTTTGTTAAAAAGATTACCTTCAACTTGTTTTTGTTTTGATCTTAATGCTGTTAAGTAATTGTAATTGTTATTGTTCAAGCACTGAAAACGTTTATCCATATTTTGTTAGATTTTTAGCAGATGACAAATTTTCAATTTGAATTATTTGTTGTAGGATATCAAGGGATGATCCAGGATAGGCAGCAGAGAGTCCCATTGAGAATAATGCAAGGAATGTCAATAACCCTCAAGGATAAAATTACCGGACCCTTCCAGGTTGGATTATTAATATTGTGACCAGAGATCGGAACTTTTGAGTAGATATATTTAATCTTGAACCCTTGATCTTGATATCCAATGTGGGCATTTATTAAGAATCAATGCTTGATCCCTTAATTTTAGTTATCCCTGGTGTAGAGTTTGAATTGAATTACTCCGTGAGTCTGCAAAAGATGGAGATAAATACTTGATCCCTAGATGCACAGCACAAAAGTTGCGACTTCTGCTAAAATTACATGAACGTAGCGTATACTATATACAGTGGGGCAAATAAAACTTTGGAATAGAGAGATACCATTTAAGCAATCTCATTTGTATTTAATAAATATTGTTGAAATTCAAATTGTGTTACATCTAGCTTATAAACAACTCATCCAGGTTGGATATCAATCGTGCCAGATGAAGAGTTTGTTTTATATTTTACCAAAACCATCATAAGAATTCTGATTGTATAATGTTTACTGCAGTGAAACCCTTAATAAGGAAGACATCGGAAGAATTTATCAAATGTCGTCTTGACAATTTTTCAATGAGTTTTATACTATATTAGGTAAATTTCATTATTTGCGAAAATAAATAAATAGCCATGAATATGCGGGAACAGTTTTAAAGAGTTCCATATAATCATTTAATTAAAAAAACTAAATATCTGCAACATTCCACTATCATAAAGTGAAGAACACAACATTTGATGAATTCTTTCGATGTATTCGTTATTAAGGGTTTCACTGTAGCCTACTAGGGGTGAAGAAAAATTGAAGTACCAGAGATGGGAACTTTTGAATGGGATATCATTAATCCTGATCGGATAATTAATCTGGAGATTAAAAATGAGTGGAGAACAAGCAATATTTAATCTGCAGATAAGATAAAATCTCCAGATTAAAGTTTGTAACAAATCTTTGAAAGTCATTCTTAATTCTGTGGTAGGTAATTCTAATTAGTTTTGCCCTTTTAAGGGACTGTGTAGGCGTAATTTCAAGTGACCCTCCATGCAAAGAAAGCAATGTCCGATCTACAACTGTACACTTGAAACCTTTATCTGATCAATAATTCGGAAGATATTGTCGTTTTTCGAGGTTTAAAAGTGTTAATTTATGATATTTCCAATATCTTTTTCTGTAATTAAAAATTATAAACATTCTTATCAAATTCATACTTGATCAGACAAAGCTGTTTAGGGTAACATTGTGCAATGTGCATCGTCATTACCATCTTTGCTCAAGGAAAGGTCATTTGAAAATTCTCTTTCAGTCCCTTTAAGAATTATTTTTAGTTGGAGATCAAGGATATTTCACTCCACAATGATCCTTTCGGAGATGATGAACATTTTGCTTACGAGTTTTACAAAGTTCCAAACTTCTGGATTGGTCTATAAACATCAGATCTAGGAAATACAACTTCTGGGTCGGTTTGTAAACAACAGATCTAGGAAATCAAACTTCTGGATTGGTCTGTAAACAACAGATTTAGGAAATCAAACTTCTGGATCGTTCTGGAAACAACAGATATAAAAAATCAAACTTATGGATTGGTCTGTAAACAACAGATCTAGAAAATTAAACTTCTGGATCGGTCTGTAAACAACAGATCTATGAAATCAAACTTCTGGATCGGTCTGTAAACAACTGATCTAGGAAATCAAACTTCTGGATCGGTCTGTAAACAACAGATCAATGAAATCAAACTTCTGGATCGGTCTGTAAACAACTGATCTAGGAAATCGAACTTCTGGATTGGTCTGTTAACAACAGATCTAGGAAATCAAACTTCTGGATCGGTCTGTTAACAACTGATCTAGGAAATTAAACTTCTGGATTTGTCTGTTAACAACAGATCTAGGAAATTAAACTTCTGGATTGGTCTGTAAACAACTGATCTAGGAAATCAAACTTCTGGATCGGTCTGTTAACAACAGATCAAGGAAATCAAACTTCTGGATTGGTCTGTTAACAACTGATCTAGGAAATTAAACTTCTGGATCGGTCTGTAAACAGCGGAGCTAGGAAATTAGTAAAGATGAAGGCAGAATAAATTCATACAGACAAATTATTAGATTTTACAACACTCCGGAGAGTTTTGGGAATACTATAAGAGAGCCTAATCAAAGCTCGTAAATACAGCGTCTTATTTGAATTTTAACAAAGTTCATGGAACTTATAAATTCTTTATTTGTTTCCAGATTTTACTTCTAAGAAAATTGTAAAAATCGGAATAATAACAAACGTTTTAAATTTCGTTCTCAGACCTGACTAGAAAATGTTGTTATTAATATGATTTTTAAATAAAGTAAATTATAAGTCTTAATATTTTTTTAGACTATTGTTGTAAAAAGAAACAATACATTTTTAAGAACTTGAAGTTTAATCTCATCAAAAAGAAGGAAAATAATTTTATTTTTGAATTATTTTTTAATAATTGTCATTATTTATTTATTAGTAATCTTGTTACAGATACAATGTAGAAGCTGTGGATCTAACAGAGCTGCCATGGGTTAGCAGTTCTGTTTCAAACTATAAAATATTATTCTCAATTATGCAAAAACTAAATAATTAAAGAATGGAGGAGAATGATGAAGTAAGGAATGATGCTAGACTTGTAAAGAAGGACAAGGATGGCGACGAGGGAGAGGAGAAGAGTCCTGAGCTGAATATACAACCTGGAGAAACTATTCAAGGGTCTGAAACTAGTTACAGAGTTATTAGACGGATAGGTGAGCTCCAGTTCAAGTAATTTTTATCATTTTTTTATATTTTGCCCTCTCAACACATCTTACAATTTGATTTTCTATTTATATCAAGTACTGTTTAATGTACAGGGTTACCCAGAAAGGATAAGACTGTAAAGACGACTTGAAACTTAAATTTCAAGATATGAAGATCCTAAGAATTAAGTCTTGTGGCTCGGTTAAGGTCATGAATGGCTGATTAAAATAACTTGGCTAAGAAATACAAAATTATACAGTTGTGGGGAATGATGAATATAAGGAAACAGTATAAGGTTTAATGAGGTATAAATGGCATACAGTCGTCTCTGAAGTCTAATCCTTTTTGTGTGTAAGACTGTATGTATGTACAGGGTTACTCACAAAGAATTAGACTGTAAAGACGACACTAAATATATGACTATTTCAAGCTTGATTTTTGGTTTCTGCATTCAATTTAGTATTTTGATGGTTTACCAAATAATAAAGCACAGAAATTATCCAGTTTTAGCATACAAGGAACCCTGAAACCAAGAAAACGGACTGAACAATTTCCGTACAATCGTTTTTAAAGTCTCAATCTTCAAAAATTTCTCCATAATACTTAGTTCTCACTTCAACTACCATACATTGCCGGTCATTCCCTTTAATAAAAAAAAAACTTTTTTTGAATTTTGCTATTGAAATTTCTTTCGTCATTTCCTCATCTTTTGTGATGTTTGAATGAAGACCGGGAAACCAAATTAATTAAGTCTCATAAAAGAGATGGAAGCTAAAAAGAGGGCCACGTGGAGTCTCGTTTTTTTGGTTATCTTAAAATTTGTTTAGGCGAGGGTCGATGCAGTGTTGTTTATAGTGGAGAAACAATCAACTCTGCTGAACCTGTGGCTCTTAAGTTTTTCAGGTAAAAAAGGAAGATATCTTTATTTCCTTTTTCGTAATGTGTTCAATTCCCACAATAAATCCTTCGTTGCTTCTCTTTGCAAGTCAATTTTGTGAGGCAGAAAAACATGTTGATCTTCATCATGTTTGCACATGCAAACATTGATGGTACCATTTTAAATTCCCTTTAACCTGCCACTCCACTGCTAATAATGTAAATTTCCAATACAGTACAGTGATCACCAGAAAACTGTAGAATAGGCAGTAAAGTAAGGCCGAAGTGCATTTGATATTTTACAAATCTAATAGCTTTACTAGGAAGTAGTTATTAAATAAAATATTTAGTGAAATGGGTCTGTTTACACTGCGCAATTGCTATGCCTCATGTTCATTGGAGTATTTTAAGTCATATCTTGAGTCTTAAAGTCAACATCCTTTTCCAAAGCTTTCTGATTAAAAAGTTATTTTACTACAGGACTGGAAGCACGTTCAAGAGTGCAGCTGAAGCAGAAGCTAAAGTATTTACTCTGCTTGCAGGTTCAGTCAAGACATCGGTCAGTCTGTACAGTACAACAATATACAAGGTACTAGAACTTATGTTTAATGTACTACACATTTTGATTTATGTACACTGTACAGCAGAAAAATGTGTGATAAAACTTAGAAACCCAGCGTTGCCCAGGGTACTCAAAGTTACTCCCGCCGTTTACCCGCACTTGGTAGATTTTTACCGGGAAACTATTTAAGATATAAAAGTCGATCAACTCAGTTCAAAACCAGGCTAAAAACAATCCCGTTGGTCTTCTGAGTTCCCCAATAAAAATTTGAGGCAAATCGCTCAATGAGTTTCTGAGTTATGATGTCTATACATTCTTTGGAATGTATAATTTATCCAAAGAAACAAATAGACAGAGAGACAAAACAGAGATAACAACTTTATATATATAGAATAGATCATGGCACAAGGTATTAATTATAATGTGACTATGCACAATTTACAAATCCAGCAATTATTTGCAGTATACAAAACTTTTGTACGTTATGGGTATTGAAAATTTTAGTATTTAAATATGTAATAACACAAATCGTGTACTGCATATTGTAGTGGGTGTAGGAGACTTATGTACACAATAATTACGTACAGCCTCACACTAAGTGAGGGGCAGACAGGTTTAAAACAAAATGAAATCTAATATTTTATATGTTTATATTTAGGGCCTGATATGTTTTGTATTGGAGCTTTTAGACCTCAATATTCGACAGCTAATAATCAAGGTAATTTTGTAAAATTAAGTGAAGTTTTTTTTGCAACCATAAGTATTTTTTATTTGAATTTGTATTAAGAATATTCGGAGTGGACTACCTGTGTGGACCACCCTGAAGTTTGCCAGGGATATTTTCAGTTTTCTCCAACCTTTACATCAGGTAATAATTACCATAATTTAAAGGGTCTTTAAGCGTAATTTTAAGTAACCCTCACTGCAAAGATGGCAATACCCGATTCACAATTTGGTACCTTTTAAAGCTTTGTATGATGAGATATGAATTTACATAATTTAAAAAAGAAATTGTGTTTTTCCAACTAATTCTGGAAAACAGTAGGAATTATCAGGATTAAACATCTTTAAACCTAGTATAACAACACTATCTTCTACAATATTGATAAAATAAATGTTTCAAGAGTACCATTGTGAGTCGGGCATTACCATCTTTGCATGAAGGGTCACTTGAAATTACGCTCACAGTCCCTTTTATAATTTGTTTGTACAGTAGATTAGACTGTGGAACAGGAAAGACGACTGTGAGTCTCAAGTTTTGAATTTAATTAGTCCCATGAACCACAACAATGGTCCAGTCCCAGTTCGCATAATAACTATTGATGGTAACTATGTGAACTTTTAATAACATCAAATACACTCAAAATTGCTGAACTGTCAGCTTCCTATTTCACAGTTTTTAGGTCCCACAACAGTATAAATGATTTTAGGTCCCACAACAGTATAAATGATTTTAGGTCCCACAACAGTATACATGATTTTAGGTCCCACAACAGTATAAATGATTTTAGGTCCCACAACAGTATACATGATTTTAGGTCCCACAACAGTATAAATGATTTTTATGAATTTTGAAAAGCAAGCACACGCGTAAATGTATCAAAGAAAAGGGAAAAATAAATTGAAAATCAATAATATTTTTATCTTGTTGATATTTCAGGCTAATTATGTGCATGGAGATATCAAACCTGGGAATATTATGTGGTCCGGACAGGTACTTTTCAAACTTTTTCATAAATGATTTTGGAAGCTTGGAGCGAAGATCAAAATGTTGATTCTCTTCCGGAAGTTCTTTTATTTTCTTCTTAATCTCAAACGAATCCTGGACACAAGGTTAGATGGTTAACAAGAAATGGTTGAACCACGTACCAACGGTTCAACAAACTACTTCTCATATTCATTAAATCTGGTCCTAGACCCTTCAAAGTGGAATTTTCGGATTTTTAAATACATTTTAGTGGTTTTTTGAAGTCAAACTTGGTTGCAGTAACTTATTTCATTTAAATATGAATTGATATTTAGGATGGTTGCTTCAAGTGCTTTGATTTTGGACTGAGTTACAGTTTAGATTCTACAGTTCTCCACCTGACCCAGAGTACAGGCTACCGAGCTCCGGAGCTGACCCGCAGCTATAAAGGAGCTGCTTCCCACCAGTCTACTGCAAGGGGCGGATACATCTACCTGAGATCTAGAAACAACAACTACAGTGTAGAAAGTATATCTGGAGCTGGGACGGATATCTGGGCACTAGGTTGTATTCTTATGGAGTGTGTACTTGGTAGAAAACTATTCAGGGCGGGCGATAGGCTCTCTTCACATCTCAGGTTAACAACTTTAATTTAAAAAGAAAAGTCGCGGTTTTTCAAATAGTTGAATTTAGATTTTTTTGCATTTATGAAAAATTGACTTTATAAATGATGTTTTAGCTTGATCATACTGCGCAAGAAACCAGTATTTTTTACAGTTTGTCCTTAAAGGAGTTGAGTCTTTGCCACAAACTCAAATTTTCTAATCTTTATATCTTTGCAACCTGTTGGTGTAAACTTTTGATATTATATACTTAGATTATTTGATCTGACAGAATTTATAGTTTGAAATATCTAAAATCTACGACATATTGGGTTGACAGATATAGGGATTAGAAAATCAGAGTTTGCGGCAAAGATATCAAATGTCATTCAGGGTTTATGATTTGGTTGAGCTGAGACTGGAGGAAGTTAGATCCAGGTTTGAAGAACACCAGCAGTCAGAAATATTTCAGCATCTCAAGGTAAAATTTAGTTTGGAGAAAACGAGAAGCCCCAACCCGTCAACATCCCCTGAGCTGCTTATTCTCCAAAACTTGCATCAAACGTTATCATGTTATTCTAATATGTAATATGTGGGGTAAAACCGTGTAGATCATTGTATGCAATGTATAGGCTTGAAAGTATTCGCACAGTTTTGCACTATGCAAGTACCGATGGCTACATATAGGCCATAGGGCCCCTACAACTCAACTATATTTGCAACCTTGTTCAAGTAAACAGCTTACTAGTTTGAAGATACAGGAAAAAATATAAAAGTAAAGAATTGATTCAAAGCAGAAATTATCTGCAAACTTCCCCAACTCCCCAAACCCACATTTTTCTACGTTCTTAAATTATTTTTTCCTTTTTGATTTAATTTTATTTCCTTATAGTAATGTCAACATTACACAAGTGTTAAAATTAATTGATGGAAGGAATGATGTATGAACTTTATATCCATTCATTTTCCTTCTCAATAGTTTATGATTTTATGCACGTGACAGTGTTAAGAATTAAGTTTTGTTCAGGATTTAATACTGCGCTGTCTGGAGGAAAATCCCGACAATAGAATAACTGCTGAAGAAGCACTAAAACATCCTGCTCTAACCAGTAGTATAGCTCTCTCCAGAGCAGACACTATCCTTCTTCCCTCGCCTGTTCTTAGCTTCAGCTCTGTCGACCCCGCCCATCTGAGGGCGGTCCAGGAGAAGCTAAATTATAGCCAGGTTCTAGAGCAGAGGATCCATGGGAACCAGTTGTTCGTCCATTTCAAAAGTATCAAGGAGTCTATCAGGGCTAAGTCCATCCTATCCTGTGAAGGAGTTCGTAATATTGATTTATTCTCAACTGAGGATATTATTATTTATAAACATCAAACTGCCACCAGCAATTATACAACAGAATTCTATCCCTTGGAACTTTGGTATAAAATGGAAGAGGCGGTGTAATTTACTACAAAGGTTTAAATTTTAGAAATGGTGGGAAAGAAAAAAAATAGGTCTGGACTAAAACTCCGCAATTCAGTTGGGACTTGATATTCTCTCCTGGTAGCTGAAACTCAGAGCAATTCCTATATTTCATGATTTGATTTGGTTTCATTAAATTCTTTTTTACTTAAGCGGTATGCCTTTTTCTCAAAGAATTCTTCGGGAGAAACAAAAACCTTTACAACCCTCTTTTACCTAATCTAATCCTAAGCTTTCTAAGCTTTGGATTTTAGCAAATTATGTACCTAGTCCAGTTCAAAGAGATATTCTATAATATGCAAAAATCCACGAAAATTCAAATGTACCAGTCACGATAACATTTGTACCAGTGTGCTATGATTTACGACGTTAAAGCATAATTTCAAGTGACCCGCTATGCAAAGATGACAATGTTCGATAAACAACGGTTCCCTAAATAGCTTTGTTTGATCAATTATGAATTAGATATCAATTGTTATTATTTTGAAGTCTTATTATTTTAATTGTGGTTCTCTAAAAAAGTGACTTGCGCATTTCTATAGCAGGAAAACATGCAGGAATTTTCAGATTTTAAAACTTAAAACATTAAAAACGACAATTTATTCAACAATATTAATCAGATAAAGGTTTCAAGGGTACAGTCATTTTTGCATGTAGGGTCAGCCGAACTTCCGCTTACAGTTCCTGTAAATTACCTTTTTAAAATGTTATCAATGCATTATTTAGAAACGTAGTGTCTTCATGTAAAAATTATTCTATGCAACTAAATTTACACCGTCACTTATGATTCTTTTTTTAGATTGTACTTTTATAGAATTTTTAGATTTTTTATTGATAGTTTTAAGTTTTTAGTTTTTGTTTTCACAGAGTTATGTTTATTAGACTGAATGTCATGATAAAATTTGTTATTTATTTTGTTTTTGTTTAGTTTTATGGTTCAGAGCTTCTTAGAATTTTTTATTTATTTATTTAGCTATGAAATTGACTTATTGGACTAAACCATTTTTAAGCTTTTATTTCCAGAGCTGAAAAATGGCGATCAGTGTGAGTGATATCTGTGATAATACAAAACTAGCCCGGGAGATGTCTCTACTAGGCAACTATGAGACAGCTAGTGTGTACTACCAGGGAGTTGTACAGCAAATACACCGGCTGCTGGGAAGTATAGAGGACCCTGTACGGAAAATGAAGTGGCAGCAGATCCAGGGAGAAGTAGCACAGGAGTATGATGTTATTAAAACCATCATGCAGACCCTTAATATGTTCAAGGGAGGGCATCATGATAGTCAACATGTGGGAGTCAGGTAGTAAATAAATACAATTGTACTCTTCTATCTGGGAGAAATATAAACAAACTTTTTCAATATAAATAATAAGTGTACTCTAATGTCATATCCGGGGGATTTTTCATGATCATTTTCTAATACTAATGTAAACAAACCATAAGTTTACTATGCTGTACTGTACTGTAATGTCATATCTGGGAGAAATGTTGACAAACTTTGTCAATATAAATTATAAGTGTAATGTACTGTCACAACTGGGAGAAATGAAAACAAACTAAAAGTGTACTGTACTGTACTGTTATATCTGCATATTTGGGGGATATCTAAACAACTTTTTCAATACAAAAGTGTACTGTTGCGTCGTTTCTGAGCCCGAAATTTAAAAGAGTATCGTAGAACGAAACTCCCGAGTTTTTTTTGTGTGGGTCTTAACATTTGTGTAGATTTTGATATAAGAGATTCGAAAAAGATTGAGAATATAACTAAACTCAATATAATAAAATTTCATATAAAAAATTTAAATTTTGGGCTATGGGAGAAATTTAAACAAACTTTTTCCATACAAAAAATAATTTACACTGTACTGTCATATCTGGGAGAAATGTAAACAAACTATATGTGTACACAGTACTGTACTGTTATATCTGCATATTTGGGAGATATCTAAACTTACTTTTTCAATACAAACCTTAAGTGTACTGTACCGTCGTATCTGGGAGAAATGTTCACAAACTTGGTCAATATAAATAATAAGTGTGCTGTAATGTCATATTTGGGAGAAATGTAAACAAACTTAATCTGAGCTTTAAGTTTTATGAGCAGGAATGTAAACAAAGCATTATACAAACTTAGGAGGTCTGTCTTAAATAAAAAAGAAATGTTTCAATTCCTAAACTTTAAGTCATTGCAATGAAAGGTGTAGGATAAATTAAAAAAATTAGCAGAATTAAAATTTAATTAAGAGGCCAAAATAACAAAAACTGTTAAAATTTGAAAATTAATATTTTTAATTATATGCCTCAAATTAAGGTGAAGAAAAATATGCAATTTGTCTGATTATGTGATTTTTACATGTTTTCTATAATTTAGATCTCATACATCGTTTGAAGAACCAACCCGGGATCCTGATGTATGGCCTGCTCCACCCCCTCGAGATCCTGCTGCCTGGGATCCTCCAACGCATGTGGAGATGCGTGGACCTCCAGCAGTTAAACCAGTTCGAGGATCCAGGAAGAGTGAACCTAATATCCGAGGTTTAGGACCTGGAGGTCGAACTATAAAGAGTACTGGGGGAGCTGCCTCTGGAAAACGAGGAACTGGGAAGGAGAAGGAGGTGAGGAAGGGGGGTAAGACTGATGGAGGAAGGAAAGGAGGGAAGGGAAAGGAGGATAAAGAGGAGAAGGATGAGGGACCAGAGGAGTCGGACCAACCTAAGTTTGATGGTACTGGATACGACGGAGATCTTGTTGATATGCTAGAGCGGGATATCGTCCAGAAGGATCCCAACATTCACTGGGACGATATTGCCGATCTTCAGGAGGCTAAACGTTTACTCGAGGAGGCGGTGGTGCTCCCAATGTGGATGCCAGACTTCTTTAAGGGTATAAGACGACCCTGGCGAGGAGTTTTGATGGTTGGACCCCCTGGCACTGGGAAGACCATGTTGGCTAAGGCCGTGGCGACAGAATGCGGAACAACCTTCTTCAACGTCTCCTCCTCAACTCTTACCAGCAAGTACAGGGGAGAGAGTGAGAAGTTGGTCCGACTTCTCTTTGAAATGGCGCGATTCTATGCTCCCAGCACAATATTCATTGACGAGATTGACTCACTGTGCTCACGGCGTGGTTCTGAGAGTGAGCATGAAGCGAGTAGACGAGTTAAATCCGAACTGCTCGTCCAAATGGACGGAATGTCGAGCATATCGGACGAGCCAGGACGGGTCGTCATGGTTCTAGCAGCTACTAACTTCCCATGGGACATCGACGAGGCACTCCGAAGACGACTAGAGAAGAGAATCTACATCCCGCTTCCAACCCTAGAGGGTAGAGAGGCACTGCTCAAGATTAATCTCCGGGAGGTGAAGACTGTTGATGGTCTCGACCTGAAGAGTATTGCTAGGAAGCTGGACGGATACAGTGGGGCGGATATCACCAATGTATGCCGAGATGCTTCCATGATGTCGATGAGGAGAAAGATTGCCGGCCTTAAACCTTCAGAGATCAGAAACCTAGGACGAGAGGAGTTGGATCTACCCGTCACCAAGGAGGATTTTGTTGAAGCTGTTACGAAGTGTAACAAGTCAGTGTCCAAGGAGGACTTGGACAAGTACGAGAGGTGGATGGAGGAGTTTGGTTCCTCGTAATCTTGGAAACAAATTTGTAAGAAAATCCACGAAACTCCCAAGATTTATTATTGAGCAGTATTTATGGCTTGCCATATAAATAGGCTCTAGAGTCTAGAATTAATGTAATTCAAATATAAAGATATATTATTTCTATAATTCTAAGAAAAAATACTAAATTTATAATCTATTTTTATTAAAAAATGTAGTTAGCACGTGATAAACATTTTAAACAAAATCAACTTATTTTAAAGCCGCATTTTATTAACATACTGATGGGGGTTCCATGTCGGGTTCCTTTTCAGATCTTATAATTATTATTATTATATTCAAAATTGAAACAATTAGTTAGTCACTAATAAGACTTAGTATAGAAGTAAATCATTAATGCTTAACCAACCTTTTGAAGTTTTTTTTTGTAATGAGAAGAAAAGTTCATGTTTATTGTCCAATGTGATACAACTCAACCTGTACTGATCGAAAATAAAAGTGACTTCTATAATAGTTTTAAGATTTATATATTAGTTTCAGAAATGATATAAAAATGGAGGAAGAGGATGAGCTTCCATCGTTTAGTGTCCTAGATTACAAACATCAGGTTGAGTAGAGGTCGTGGTCATTTAAAGGGGAAATTAACCCCCCCCCCTTTAATGGGGTTTTACAAGTGACTTTTGGACCGACCCATTTTTTCCCTGATTATCTAAGAATTTACTTTAAAATCACAACATTTTAAGATAACTTGTTGTTATTTTTATAGACTTACAATTTTTAATTCATTTGGACCGAAAAAAAATTATTATTTTTTTCTATATATATATGGAATAATTATGATACAAAGTAACGCGCTTAGGTAGTACTGCACTGTGAATTGTACAGAAAGTAATTATTCTGCTCAGTTACTCAGAATAACAAATTCTTTATAATGCACTCGAAGGAACAAACTTGGATTAAATCCTTTTATTACCTCTCAAGATCATATAAGTTTTTCGCTGAATTGGGGAAATTAAATGATTTTTCAGGAAATAATTGATTTTTTGGGTTAAAACTATTATAAAGAAATAAAAAACTTATTATTTTTTTTCTTACAAAAATAGCCTAAAATCAAATACTTTGAGCTTTTATTTTGTCTTTCAGTAGTATACAGTTTAAAGAGGGATTTTGATCAATAATTTATTTTTTAGATGTTTCACGTTTTGTTTTTTAGCTAAATATTAAATCGAAATAATTATTTAGATTATATAAGACTTGGTTAAAGATAAATAAGATATTTTTGTCATGAAATTAGATGAAATATGTTTTTTAAGATATTGGATATGATATGTATAGGTATTAGAGGAGATATGTTTGTTTAGATATTATATATGTTTGTTTAAATATTAGATATGTTTGTTTAGATGTTAGATGAGATATGTTTGGTTAGATATCAGACAAGATATGTTTGTTTAGAATTTAGATATTAGAAAGATATGTTTGTTTAGATATTAGATAAGATATGTTTGTTTAGATATTAGATGAGATTTGTTTGTTTAGATATTAGAAAGATATTTTTGTTTAGATGTTAGATGAGATATGTTTGTTTAGATAAATGAAAGATATGTTTGTTTAGATATTGGATGAGATTTGTTTGTTTAGATATTAGAAAGATATTTTTGTTTAGATATTAGATGAGATATGTTTGTTAAGATATTAGATAAGATATATTTGTTTAGATATTACAAAGATATGTTTGTTAAGATATTAGAAAGATGTGTTTGTTTAGATATTAGAAAGATATGTGTGTTTAGATATTAGAAAGATACGTTTGTTTAGATATTAGAAAGATATGTTTGTTAAGATATTAGATGAGATATGTTTGTTAAGATATTAGAAAGATATGATTGTTTATATATTAGATGAGATATGTTTGTTTAGATATATATACGTTTGTTTCAATATTAGATGAAATATGTTTGTTTAGATATTATATATGTTTGTTTAAATATTAGATATGTTTGTTTAGATGTTAGATGAGATATGTTTGTTTTGATATTAGATAAGATATGTTTGTTAAGATATTAGATGAGATTTGTTTGTTTAGATATTAGATGAGATATGTTTGTTTAGATATTAGATGAGATATGTTTGGAAGGACTGGATGGAATTACTCTTCAAGCTCTCTGGCTCCGTCTTCAGGCCAGGTTTGATCATGTTTCCCCCGATGATGTCCAAAATTTAAATGGACTGAACACGTGATTTTAAGTGACCCTTCGTTATTTCATCTGATAAACATTAAACAATGAGTCTCAATCTATCGTAAAAAAGTTAGTTCCTTCTTTGTCTGTGTTGCATAAATCCGCACGTGTTTAGAAGATACTTGAAATGGTTCACTACAAAAACAAGGATATCTCACTAATCGCTGATCTGAGAAAAAATCGTATTATGCTTTTTAAAAAACCAAAATTTTCCAAGTAAAAATAAATATAGATTACGACTCGTAAGATCTCACATCATTATTGATTTAGTATTGTCACTTCAATCTTGACGTGTTGGTGTAGGACGTCTTTAAAACTCTGATCTGATCTGATCTGATCTGATCAGATCTGATCTGATTAGATCTGATCTGATCTGATCTGATCTGATATGATCTGATATGATCTGATCTGATCTGATCTGATCTGACAAACCTTTTAAGTGTTCTATTGTGAACGAGACATCCCAATCTACTAATGAAGGGTCACTTGAAATTATGCTACAATATTTTTTACAGAGCTAAATGCAAAAATTATGGAGATTTTCACTTGTTTAATCTAAACATTTTCGTAGTAACCATAGCCTTATAAGATGAAGCAAATTGACAGAATTATCATCTTATCTAGTTAGAAAAACGACTATATCATCCTCGTCATTACTCAGATAACGGTTGAATATAATCAATAATCCCTATAATTTCATCTCAGATTCACAATGATACCCTTTAAACCTTTACTCTCTTTAAATTGATTGGTAAATGAATAAAGTCGCGACAAGTTTTTGCTGGGAATATATCAAATATTGACACCATAATCTAGACAGAGTAGGTCAAATGTATGCGAAATTACAGAAACGAATTTGCGATCTTATAGCTCCTCTTGTTTGGAATTTATGTCCAAGTAAGAAACAGTGGCCGAATTTAAAGAATTTGAGCGGCGGTTTAAATTTAAGCCTCGGCTTAAATATGGTTGGTTCCACTTAAAATTGTATCAAATGTTTCAAGAATTAAGCCGGCGCTAAATTTAAACCGGGTTTTGGCGGGATTTGGCTGATTTAAATCGCGGCTCAAATTCTTTAAATTCCATCTCAGAACATTTATTTGGTTGCGTATTATGATATCAAAACATTTTTATTGCTCTTCAGAAAACTTAGTTGAAAACATGTAAGATTTCAATCAAAAAAGAAAATTACCTTAATTAGACGTGTTGACGTGTTTAATCCTATTTAGACCTGGATGTTGGTTGGGGAGAGACTATGAGTCAAGAAGGTTTACCTGGCAGGTTATACAAACTCTCCAGGAGGTGGAGATCATGGAGCTCAG